CTCCGAGGGAACACTTGGTACATCTTGCTCAAGCTGTTCTGGTAGTCTTGGCTTCTCTGGCTCTACTGCCGTAATCCCACAACCTTACGACCCCCCCGCAGAAGATGAGGTGTGGGGTGAGTATGATGATCTCATTGAAGATGCTGGCAAAGCACCTTCCTCAGCAACGTCTTCACGAGGTGCACCGTTTCATCTTGAGACTTAAGAGTCGAAGCTGGCTAGCAAGGAGAAGCCCTTAAAGTTGCCGACGGTTGTCTTCGATAATAATGCATGCCAACAATCCAAGGCAACAACCATCTCCAGCACTTGCAGTCCTGACATGACTGAACGCCTTCGGGCAGCTTTCCAACCTCACCCACGCCCCAGAACTACCTTCTCAGTCTCCGAATTTGTTTCGGGATACGAAGACTGCAACAACAACAACACTGAGGTTCCTGCGGCTGGTGAGGTATCTCGACGAAGCAGTCGGTCTTCCTGTAAGACGAGACGATCTGATGCCAGCTCCTCTTCCGAGGATGGGTCACCACTCGCACAAGTAAATCTCAGAGTTGGTTCAATGACGGTGAGCAAGTGGCTTACCTTCGAGCATGTTCTATTCAGCGACGTTCGCCATGAACTGGTTCCTGTTGAGGGACCACTGAAGAGGCACTCAATACTCGTAATTGATGGCCTTGGTAACGATGACTGGTCATTCTACGCTGCGGAAGCATACCCGGCTGCCACCTTCTTCAACCTGTCTCCTCGCGCTCCTCTTCCTGAAGAACTCAAGAGTTCATCTTCGAGCTTCCCTCTCAGCCCTCCAAACCACCACCAGATCCAATACGTCTCTCACCTCGACAAGTTTCCGTTCGCCCCTCAGAGCTTTACGGCTGTTGTCTATCGCTTCCCTGTCGCAGCTCCTGAAGCATACTACCGCAGCATTCTCACCGAAGCGCGCCGTGTGTTGGAGCCAGGAGGCTTCATCGAGCTCTGCATTCTCGATGTTGACCTAAACAATATGGGCAACCGGGGCCGGCGTACAGTCCGCCGTCTCAAAGAGAGGATAAACGAGAGAACGCCTGATACTAGTCTCGGATCAACCGCAGATCTCATTCTTCGTCTCCTTGGCAAGGTTGGTTTCACTACCATCAAGGCAGCACGAGTGGGTGTGCCCGTGGCAAGTTCCGTCACTCGCTCAGACAGTAAGGCCGACAAGGGCAAAGCTATTGCTGAGAATAAGAAGGATCCGCCAAGTCTATCCGAGATGATGAGCGACAACAGTCCCTCGGCAGACGAGGGCAAGATGGTCAGTCGGGTTGGCCGATGGTGGTACACACGGTGCTACGAAAACGCAGCAGGGAAGTCCTCTGTAAAGAGCATCTGGAGCGATAAGTGTCTACTCTCTGAAGCTGAGGAGCTCGGTACCAGCCTGAAGCTCATGGTCTGCTGCGCTCGAGCTCCTCTTGATCGCATCACCAGTGTCTAAGCACTTAACACAACACAGTACTTTCTTCCTCTACTTTTCCTTATCGGTCACAACATTGCGCAAGATACGCAAGTTTAATTGGAAAGCATTACAGGTTGGAAGATTTCCTACGGCGCAAGCCCATTCCTCAGAAAAAGAGGCTATACCACAAGATTGAACCACGGAAGCAATCTTTACTTCATTTCGTTCCTCCACAACAAGAGGCACTCTTTTTCTCTTTTTTTTTTTTTCGAGTCGCACAGGTCAGTTTAGACCGCACACTGGATGCACTGGTGTTACGAGCTACGGTCTTTTCTAAGCTCTTAATATGTTGAAACATTGCGCTCCGCAGAACTCGAAAACTGCGTGCAAAAGATGGAGGAAAAGAGAGTCGCAATGATAGCGGTATTTTATGGCTAATTGTCAAGAGATGTGATTGATATCGAGCTTGTTGCATGACGATGCCATCTACGTCGGAGAGCAAGATTACTATTCTTGCACTCTGATCACCTCCGTTGCTATGTCTGCTGTTTATACATACTGGTCTGAATTATAAGTCGAAAAGTCCACTCCACAGATTGTGTCGTGCAAGGTGTATACATTGCTGTAAGATTCGTGATCACTGGGTTTCGTTGGCTGCGTCTCTGCCTTTCCCTTAGCTTGGGTATAGCTGAGCTCGGTTTCCGCAGCGCCGTGAGCGTGTATGGTGAGATGTAGACGATAGGCTTTGGTTGGGTGTGATGGTTTCGGTTTTACTGTAGAATGAAATGAGTAATGTTTTCAGACACGTTGATTAACTCCAGCACCTGACCGAAGGAAAAGAAGAACAAACTCAGGACAATCATCAATTGATCCATCTACTGCTCACTCCACATGCCTCGGTCTTTGAACTATCTTGGTACCTACAAAGTGCGTCACTACTTCTCTTCACCGTTACCATTCAACAATTTTCCTTTGGTATAGTTTTTTTTCAAGCTGTGATTGTATCATCTGTTACTTGGATACATAGGTGTAGACTCGACGATGCCAAGTTAAATGACGGCATGGAAAGCTTCGGCCAAGCACGCGATCCCGCATATCAACCATGAACTAAAGATCATCGAGTTCAAGAAAATCGGAATTTTGAGGGCGAAAAGCTAAGACTCCTCTTTTAGGCGACCGCCATGCACGTCCACCACTCGGATTGCCTTGATGGCCACGTTCCTCAGTCTTTGATCCATGGCTTCTGCTTCACGTCCTTGTCGTTCAAGGGTCTCAAAACTCCCGATTGGTGCGACACTGTGCATAATACTAGAGGTACCACTGATCGTGGTATCGCGGAATGAGGCCACACGATTCGTATCTGGGGTTGGCTGTAGGCTATCCATCGCTGTAGTCTCCCCAGACCTCATGTCTCGACCTTCCGTTCCGTAGGAATCTGGATTGAGCCGAAAGTGAGTACGCGGGTCGACCATCCGAAAGTTTGGTGTTTGCGAAGGTATGTTGGAGGCCGACGGTAATCTCTGAGCCGGAGCCGTGGCAGGGTAGCCTGGAAACCTTCGATTACTGTACATAAAATACGTAGAATTGTTTGATCTTTGTGGACACATGGAAGACATGTTGGAGGCTACTTGATATTGGGTCGAGTTTATGTAGCTTGGAGGTCCGCAACGTGAACCATAAATTGACCCATAACGTGTCGAAGTGTTTTGCGGTGTTGGATATGTGGGATGGACATTGTAGTCTTGCTGTGGCCAACGAGCCGGAGCTGTGGCCGAATTGATTGAAATTATGCGAGGTCGATTGTGTGTTGTACTACAGCACATTTGAGAACTTTGTGATGATAGACAGGCGAAACAAAAACTAGAGCCTGACTGTACCTCAGAAGCCGGACCCTCGGGGAAATGGCCTGTATTTCCGTAAAGCGGACCATACATTGGACTTTGGGATATCGACTGGGAGCCTCCAGAAATCTGCGCTGGAGTTCTATTTCGTTCTGGGGCCCTCATAATTGGGAACTTGTCATGATGGAAACCTTTTCCAGTCACTGTTGCTTGTCGCTTACCAAATCTATCAGGTTGGCTCTCACACGGTCGTTTGTGGCTTCGACTAGATTTCCCAGGAAGTTGCTCCCAACAACGTCTTGAAGGTGGTTCGCAAACTCGCTCTGGTAGAGGCTGTCCGGGCGGCATGATATTTTTGTCGACCTGCCGAACTTCTTGGAGCTTTAGTTGACAAGTTGGCTCAGACTTTGGCTGAACCTCTGGTGTCTTGACTGTCTGAATATCGTGGCACTCTAGGCCTCCCATACTCCGTTTATTACTCGCTTCTTCGGGCCTATCTGCCACAGCGCCGGTGCCATTGGTAAGTTCCCGTCGTGCTGGTATACCGCCAGCGGCTGACGAAAGCCTTGGCAATTCTTTAGGTAGAATAAGTCCTTCCGACTCAAGACCCCTATTGTCTGGGGTATTAGGGTTTTCTCCTTTCTTTTCTCCGACCCGCCTTTCCATCTCAGTCCTGACAGCTTTGGTCTCATTGTCTCTCGCTTCACGTGAAGTGCGGAGGCTTTGAGATGACTGCTCTTGTTGAGCGGCCCCCTTATCAACCGCAGCAACGAGTTGTGACATGTCAGCTCTGAGCTCGATGGATACCTGAGCTAGTTCCTTTTCTAAAATATCGAGCCTACCGAGGGTTTCCTCCACCCGTCGAATACAATTCTCAAGGCTCTTGTTGCCGACTTCGTTCAACTGACTTCGTTCTCTCCCAGCCCAAACAGGCTTTTCTTCTGCTCTGGACATATTTGAAAGAATCGGAATGCTCAATCCTTTCGTGTTCCAGAAGTATGGCGTAGAGATAGAATAAGCTGGTTTCCTTACAGCATACCAGATCAAGGGGCTCTAGAGAAATAACAGTCTGCAGTGGTAAGGCCGTAGCTGGGATTGAGCTAAGTGTTCGACTAGCAGCTTGAGAATAGGATTTGAAGAACTTTACGACGCTTTCAAGAAGAGCATAGAGTTGGGCAATTGCCTCAAATATATGCCAGACCATCGGGGCTAATTTACTGGAAGGCAGAGTTCAGCAGGAACATGAGCGCTCAAGCTCAGTGTTTTGAGCACCTGACCTCATGAAAACAGAAGACACGGTGATAATGGCACTAGAGAACAGAAGAACATTATCGATTAAAGCCAAAAGCTTGACAGACGCCCCCGAAAACCCAGTTCGGAGCTCGTGTATCTCGACTGTTATACAGGAACTCCCAAGCATGGAATGTCGTCCGGCGAAGCGACGGCCGGGGTATCATAGCATAACGTGCTGTACTAGACCTACCGGATCGCACGCATGATGGTGGAGTATCCCCACTTCCGCATTCAAACACTCAGATACAAGCCTGAATTATTCGTCTCAAGGTACTCTGTAGGTCTTGCCATCATTGTCTGTAGGCTTGGCAGAATGCAGGCACTTGAGCGTTATGCAGAACGATCTTCCATGGATCACAAAGAGAAACAGAGCCAATGGCTGCTATGCGCGCGTATCACGCAAGCAGCCAGGACCATGATCTGCCACGGGATCGTGGCCACCAGTAGGTGATGCGCCGGATTTGTGGACTATGTTTCGAGGTCTCGGATCTTTGCTGCAATGGTCAAGTGATGAGAAGGTCAACTCGTCATAGATAAACGGATCCGCGGCCGGTATTGGAGCTCTTGTTGACTCTATTCTGGTCTACGGGCGTCCGATCACTCAAAACCCACCTCAGTCGATGTTATTCTACGAAGCTGAGGCGTGATGCACTGCGAAAAGGAACCCGCGGTCAGGCAAGGGTAATTTACGTCCCTAGGGTAATCCGATACACTCGTCAAGGTTACAGCTAGACAATATAGAGAATAGATCAAACCGAACAGCTTTCTTGCATCATGTGCCAGAAACAGTGGCCAATCATTTATGTTGCATGAGTACTTACCATTTTTGCTTCGTCAATATGCTAGAAACTCTGTACGTAACACCCCCGCTGAACCTACTTCCATGCCAAACCCGGATCACATACTTGTTTCGAACAACGACGGTCAAGGTGAACGGAGCGCTGCTTCCACGGCACTAATCATGCCCCTCATTCACATCAATCCTAGCCGTGAATGATATATTCTTGTGAATTACGTTACGAGCTTCGGTACCGATTACTATAGCCGGAACTAATGCCCAGTATCGTTTAGTCGTATCTTTTCGATGTACCAAAAAGAACTCCTGTATCAGACACCTGACTTTGGTTTAAATCCTGACATTATCTGGTGAGAACTGGGTCTGGGGGCACCCAATGCGAAGTATAGGTATCAGTATGGAGCGCGATGGAGCGCGAAGAACGGGAGCAGTAAGAAGCATCATACATAGGCGACAACAGCTTTCTTGTTCGATGCCTACACATGTATGCGGGTTGTGCGACTCTGTGAAAAGTCTAATAGAGAGTGTCGCTAAGCCTGAATATGATCCCAGTATGACCAGGGCGAGGAGGTGACTAGATCATGAGGCTTGGATTGGTCTTCTTGATCGTCCATGTCCGAGCATCGCATCTGAATCTTGGCTGAGGAAGTTTTTGAAACAGATTCCTCTTCCTGCTTTAGATAAGTGGGTAGTTTTAGCTACGAAGTTTGTGTTAGAACCCCACGGCGATAGACACGCCCCTCGCTCAACGGAGCACGTGTGAGAGCGTTGAACGAGGGCACAATTCTTACTGGCTGGCCCGGAGTTGGCGAGTTGTTGCGCGCCTGGGCGGAGGATAAGCAGACACACTCAAGTCATTCTCATCAGCCATCTTGGGTAGGGTATTGTAACTATCAGAGCCTGGACGTAGTGATTGTTAGCGACGCTTGCAATGTTTGTAAAGCAGTGAGCTGTTTTACAGATAAGATGGAAAGGGGGGAGAGGCTAGGCTAGTAGCTGGTGGCCGGAATCGACGTTTTTGGTCAGCCTCAAGTCATTGACAGCTCTTCCATCAACGAAAATGACTCACTCCCTTGAGATTGCTTTCTGTCGGTCGTTCGATGGTTGAGCTTGGGACACTGCCAATGGCGGGTTGAAACTATGGCTTCTGGCGAAGCGGATATGACCACCGGACTCCTGTCCAGAACTTGCTAGAGAACAGTGCGCGTGGCTAAATGGGCGATTGAGTACTCTCGAAGGGGGAACTCGTGCCTACAAGTGTGGCCACCGCTGAAGGGTCCATGAGCCTACAAAAAGTAGCCACGCCCTCTCTACAAGAGACTTCAGGATCACAGGAGCGAAGGGGATGGATCATCTGATGGAACTCCGCATTTCCTTCATCAGGAAAGAGCATGGTTGACGGACTAGATTTCGAGTTCTAGCTTAATACCTGTGTCGACTTAGTTTAGATACTTTAGTGAAAGATAGGAAGAAGTAGATTCCGGCCAATCCAACTCTTATCTTTGCAGTAAGTGCTTTTTCGACTCCTTCTAAGGGCACGTCCATAGTTCAGACCTACGAGTCGAAGCAATTTCTCCGGGTCCAGCGTCAAGAGCGCAGCGAACAATGAGTGGCGGCGAATGAAGGATCAGACGTAGCGTCTGTACAATCATTACGGGTCGTACGATCACTCCGTCATCCGAGTTCGTGTGTGACGTGTGTTGGTACCGATCGAGCCATCTGATACGAAGCGGCGGACTTGTACATGGCGTATTTGCACCTCATAGCCCCTAGCTTGCTAAACGGCCATCGCGAAGAAGGGTGGCACAACAGTGATAAACCTTGAAAGGCCGGGTGCTGATTCTATGGCGCGACGTTTTAATGAGCACTACGCGCCATGTGTCGCGCCTATACTGTTTGATCTTCATATTCTCCGAGTGTCTCAACGATCGTATATTCTCGAATTGGCGGCTAGACTTATCTTGACCCCCATGGTGCGACTCCCCACTTACATCGTCCAGTCGGCTCATCACCCTCTACACTTCTCTAGTCCATGCCAGCTTATCTCTTGTGCTTTATATTTTTCTATCGCCACTCCCAAAAGAAGACCGTTTGAACCCAGCCAGTCTCGTCGCACCTGGAGGCTCGCTAAGCTGTATAATTGCAGCTGAGAGTGTGATTAGGTCTTAGCCTCGACGGTGGTTTTGGTCCATGAATCATGTCACATGCCCGACGATCTAGGAACGAGTCTCCTGTAGCGGCCAGGTCAAAGCTATTCGAGACAACTTAAGCAACCGTGGATATTCTCTTACACCTCAGACCACCAACTTGTCTTGAAATGTGTCAAAACGAAAATGAAGCTAGCAGTTTGCTGCCGATGGTAAGATAGCGCTCAATCTAGATGAAAGTTGACTGGAAACTGGGTGAGGCTCTGGTAGATCTACTCTAGTATGTAAAGCGAGATGCCACTAGTGAGCTGAGCAGGGATCTGACATGCAGGGACGACGCGAGCGTCATGCATGAAGGTGCGGGGGGGAGAAGGTCATGAGCCTCGGCTCCATGGACCTGGCCAAGACTAGGTGGAGCAAATTTGGTTGCGGAAAGGTTTGAATCAAAGAAAAAGTCTAATTTGTTACCGCAGCATCCCCTCAGAAAGGATTGCTTCGGCTACTGAGTTGTTGCTAAATGGCCCACCGCGCTTGCACGGGAGAACACCGAGCGTGTGCATAAGATTCGCTAACGCGATGATAGTTGTGTGTGTGACGAAAGTTTTCTGGCGCTAGAGATTACAGCATGCCATGGTGTCACATCAAGATAGTCGTTGACTTGACAGCGGGCGGCCGACATCACAAAAGCTAAGTCGATGTTTTCTTTAGCCTCCACGGGTTCTCAAACAGACCTTGGCAGTGATGGACTACAGACTGTAGAACTGTAAACACGGTCTGTCTGTCAAGTAGCTCAGAGCTGATATCCATGCAAAAACACTCTACCAGACCAGCAAAAGGGTGTGACCAATCTTTGATATCCTACAGGTGCGTCCTTTTCCTCTTTAGTGGCTACTTCAATCATACTTTCTAATGGCGGGCGGTTCATGTGATGGGCTAATCCGTTTCTTGCAGAGCTGTTCAAGTTGTCTTCTTTTTGTTTAGAATCCAGGTACGTAGGGAAACCCAGCAAGCTTGAGAGCGGATGATTCCTGAAAAGAACTTTGCAGTAGGTTGAACTAGACGACCAAGTGTATACCTTGCAGTAATTGACTCTCATTCTGCTCTATACCACGGATCTTCATCTTTTATTCCTAAACCACCACTCGAATACTCATCTCGCACACCTCTGTTCTTCCAAAGTCTCGGGCAACGCACTCTATAGACTCTATTCACTTTCCTCGTGGGCCTTCCTGTTAAGCTTCGGTTGTATCATATGGTTCACGTTTGCTTCCAGCAAGCATGTCTCCCATATTCCGAGGCTACAACGTGGGAACGAGAAATCACTCCACCTTGCTTACTCCTGGAAACATGGCCACAAGGAGAGAGATCTTAGTTGCTCTAGAAGATAAAAAGTCTATTTGGGATCGAATTGAAGCTGAAAGCCAAGAAGGGAGCAGAGATATGAATCCCACGATGGAAAGATTCCTCTCACGATGGAGAGAGAATACAGCTGCCTCTGAAGATATGGCAAAGCTAGCATCAGTTGGTAAGGGGCAGACAACACCACGAGAACCAACCAATGATATCGCAGCCATCATAGATAGGCTTGGTGAAGCAGATGGTGAGAGCCAGATGGAACGTATCGAGCACTGTCATAACGAAACAGTCAAAGCCCCCGTTGATGTGCTTGATGCCAACGACAATATGACTGGAGGTTCCGAACGACCAGCGCGTCCAGGTGCACCTTGGCCGCAACGAATTGAGGAGCGAGCTTTCTTTATACCTCAATACTATTCACCCAAGAAGCTATGTCATATGGCCTCCAGCGTTGCACCAGTTTGCATAGCTGAGGAACCCTGTGGCTGCCATCACCAGTTGACATATAGTTCCTGTCCCGGACATCTAGGCTTCCCGACTACGGTTCCTAGTTCGGATTATGCTCTGCAAGGGAAGGAAAAACCTGGAAATTTGCCTCCATCACGATCCATCGCGTTTCAACCAAGCGTCCCGCGATATGAACTCGACAATTGTACGCAGCGTTGTGAGGAAATGTCTGAGCTTCTGCCCACCCAGCCACGTAAAAGGCCAAGACTACCGGAGCAAGCTAAAGCCTGCCTCAGAAGGTGGTATTATGCAAACATTCAGCGGCCATATGCAGATGGACATGAAATGCAACGCCTCATGTGTGAAACTGGACTAGAGTGGGGTAAGTTCAATTCGGTCAGGCCGAGCTGGGTAGTACGAAGAAGACGAGTGAAGGTTGGAAACTAACATGTTCACCAACAGATCAAATCAAAGGCTGGTTTTCCAGTCAACGACGTCGAAAGAAACTTGGGAAGAACGAAAGAATCAAGAAAGCATCCAAGAATCACTTAGGAGGCATTGAATACCATAGAGACGGGGCAGCCAAGACCAATGATATTGATCATACTGCCGGCAAGGCGACCCAGGCTATGGGAGCAATCCAACCGATGAAAATGACAATAATTCATGCAACTGAAAATTTTCTTGGACGCACGAGATTTCCCGTTGACTTGCCTCGACCGACACCCATCTCTCTTCCACCCATCAGCCAGCCGATACCGTCCTCTACGCTTCCTCCAGGGATCCCCCTAGGGTCTAGTGAAATTCTCACACCTCTACCTAAACAAGATTCGTTTGCAACAGGCCCACGTGGCCCTGAACATATACTTACTAACCAATAATATTCAGCAGCCACCATCCTCACTCCTGATGATACGGGAAGACGAGATGCGAGCGGCTGGAGTGAGGCAAAGACTGTGGTTAATGTTCCATCTTCCATTCATCTTCCTCCCATAGCGAAATCTCTGCAGAGCGGACGTCTGGAGGCCAGAGCGCAGTTAAAAAATGGACCGAGAAGAGTATGGACGGCCGAAGCAGATTTGCGAAGGTTCCATTACTCAGACAAGAAAACTTTCCCCACCACCGGTCAGTCCGATACACTATTAACCTTCTTGTGATACTTTGTCTAATGCGAATTCATACAGTGGAGCGACCCTAGGAAGGATATTCAGCGCCTTGCAGAGGTCAACACTCACCCGTACGCGAGCAGGATCCATGTCATACAGTGCTGGGACATGGCGGAACGATGAGGAATTCTTTTGCTACTAGGCAGGCAAATGCGTTGAACCCTTAGAACAGGGCCTTTTTGCGGACTGATTTCAGTACTTATCCAGTGGTGATGGAAGTGATGTTGTGAAATATCGAATCCCTTCAACTCTAGATGCTCGCGTTTATGTACAATGTCCAGCCCCGTGCGTGCTCGCCAGCGTTTAGTGCTAGCATACGTGGATCAGATTCAATTGCGCTATGATCATTCCAGCGAGATTTAATAATGAAGCGTATTCTGGTCTCATGCCGAGAGAGTGACCTTGAACTGACCAAGATGCTTGGACGATCAACTCTCACGTAGGGGAAAGGAAGGATCTGGGTGAGTTAAGTTTAGGAACAGGGATACCTTCCGGGCTCAAGGGAGCAAAGAAAACTCTTTAAGCAGTGTAGTGATAGTTCTGCAAGCTCGGGCCTGCGGATTGTGGATTGATAATGCGCTGTCGACTGCGAGGCTTGGTGTGAGGTGCAGAAGTCAACCTGGTTCTTGTTATGCTGAATTCTTGGTGGAGTTCCTCAGCGGGCCCAGCCTCTTGATACTTCAAGTCATTCAACTCAATTCAAGTCCGAATCCCTGACTCGCAAGCCAGGAAAAAGGGCAACAAATAAGTCGACTCAGGTCATAGTCTACAAGTCGCCAAGTCAGTATGCTTAGAATTAGTTTGTAGATTTCTTCTACTTTTATCCTCGAGGAATTCCTAGACACAAGTGAGGACCTCTTATCTTATCTTAGCCTCTTAGTCAGTCAAGAGAAAAACCTGGGAGGGGGCATTAAGATTTTATGTCTACCACAGAGCCTACTGCCTTAGGGCCGAGTTCCGTCTGCTCTGCCCTGGTGATTGGCAGCCGCTTGTAGCGCGAAAGCACGTTCCGGCCGCTAACTTCACCTCCAGATAAAGCCCTGTCGCCTAGAGATGGGATACTTGGCAACCGTTAGAAGGGTAGACAGGTTGGAATACGATCACTATTGACAGAAGAGGGCAGGCGACCGTTGGTCTTGCGTAATAGAACGGTCGATAAGATCAAGACGAGTTGTAGTAGTGGGTGAGAGGACCTATTGGACTTGCTGATGTTTAGTAATACTTGCTAATGCTGGATTAGCATCTGGATGCCCTCGAGCTTCTGTTAGACATAGCGATATGGAACTTTGCTCACAAGGGAACGCTCTCAGTAATGGCACTCAACGGATATGGAGTAGCTAGATAAACCTCGCGCGTCGTTCATAGGCGGCTCTGTCATGGCCTGCGATGTTGTATCCGTAGGAACAGTTACAAGCGGGCATTAGTTAGGCAAGCTCTTCGAGTCATCTACCTACAGACGGTGATCGAGAAGTCTGTCTTGGCTGCCAGGGGGGCACTCATTGCCCACGACGACATATCCCATCGTATAGTTAATAGCTATAACCGACGAGGAGTACTGAATTTATCACGGCAGTTTAAGGAGCTGGAATTCCGGTGTAGAACTAATAGTCACAGGAAACATTTAAAATCACCATTGCAGTGTTGCGCTACAGGGTCAGTCACGTAATGTTGACCGTGTTTGGCAGTGGCCCCCTAGCCAAAGAAAATTGGCCTTACACGTACACGACATGCTCGAAACTGGATGACCTCAGGTGGATGGCTCGACTCTTCGACGGCCTTTGTTCTTGCCAGCGACTAGCTAACCAACCGAGCCGTGGGTTAATATCAACTTGGCGCCCCCGCCATCGCGCAATTGATGAGGATTCCACCTGTCCGAATGCACCTTCATACGCGTACGCGGAGAGGCAGGAGTGTGCTTCAGCTTTCGTTCGCAGCCCATTCCACCACCGGCATCTTTATTTGCCACATTGAGGACCAGCAAGGGCTGTCACAAACTGCCGGTCAGGATTGACGACTTGCAGGATGGTGCCCGGTCATTTGCGTGACTCCCGCACAGTTACCGGCCCTCAAAGAGCTCACTCAACGATATCTTCCAGTAACATGCCGGCACAGCACTGTTTGTGTAACCTATTATTGGCCAGACTACTATGTGAACTAATGGAGATGCTAGGAAAGCCGTTAGGAAATACGCCTCAGCCTTCAGCGGCCCCAGGCACGCCGCCAAGGCGGGGGCATTTGGGCCCATCGAATACCATCATCAGTTTTAGCAAACGCGCTCATGAAGATTCTCGTGTGCCAACAATTGAGCCCTGTTCTATTACCCAAAGATTTCAAATCGTTTCTCAGTACACTGTGGCCTACGCCTTTTAACAAGCTGCATCGCCTACCCGGGCATCAATTTATTGGTTGGCGGTCGCGTTTATTGTGATGCTGTACGTGTGTAGAATTCGTGTATACAATACACTAGTCACATCACAAAGGAGCTCTTGCAGAAGGTCCACGATCCTTTCAAGGCTCCGGTGCGGTGAAGATTCTATTTTGTCTCGTCTCAAGACCGAGTACGCAAGAGTTCCCTTTTGGCTGATCCTGGAACTCGGGGAGAGACGGGGCAAATTTTTGGGCTAAAAGAATATGGTCTTCGACTCTGACAAGATCGAAATGTGAGAGAATAACCTCGAGAAACCCAAGGGCGACACGCGCAAGCTGACAGTCATCGGCGGAGTTGCCGAGAAAGATACCGAGGAAAAATCCGAAATTGGTACAAAGAAACATTTTCTAGTTCGAGACACACCTGTGGCCGTCACGATGTGAAAGCAGTCTGCGTACAGCATATGATTTGATTTGAACTAAAGTTTAGGAAGAAATCCACAATTGTAGCTACAACCTAGAAGTCTGCTGAAGCTTGATTGATACGGTAATTTATCGATGAACAGGAAAATCAATCGTAGACTCAATAAACAAGAACCATGAATAAACCACTTGCACCCCTGTCGTTATCTTTTCTTCTTTTTGCCTCTATTTTTAGATTCCGGATTCTTGGCAGGCATCACCACCTGCCTTGTATCCCATTTACTCGGGGCCGCAGACGATGAAGCCAGAAGCTGCTTGTGCGCCTCTCGAGCGGATACCGCAGACATCCGTCCGGCGACCGGATCTCCGCATAGCGACTCCAGGTATTTGCGACTGTTGTTTTCGCGAGCTTCCTGAGCACGCGCAGCCCAAAGGTATCCAAAATGGCACGAGAACACCACTAGGAATGACCGAAGGATGAATGGCATCCAGTTGCATATCCATAGAACAACAGTAACAAGTACATAAGATAACAAAAGTCTCGCTGTGGGAATCTTTCCAGACAAAGCGGTCTGCCTTTCCGCCATAGTGACAGAAAAAGGAAGCACGTTGGGCTTCGACGACGCCAAGGCCTGAAGTTCACGGGACGCATCTTGCCGAAACGATGATGCGGCTTTCCTAAAACAAACAGTTTTCTCATACATATCTTGGGCCTCGACCAGGCTATCTCCATACCAGGGGCAAGGTTTGAGCCGCTTGAATGAATTAATGAGTTGCTGAAACATCACGACATCGTTATCGACTTGTAGCGAAAACAAGTGAATGCTGCCTTCGACTTCAGCAAAAAATCCGTCCAGAGCATTAACTGCATCGTTCGCGTCGTAGACATCATTGATATCTTTCGTAACGTCAAGTATTGTGTCGTAGATGTGACAAGAGAGTTGTGCCCGGTTTTTCCCAAGAGCATCGAGAATATCACGTTCGTTAGTTATGCTGCGGCCTTTATAGTGAAAGGATTCCTGCTTCAGCAGCTCTGAACTTTTGGCATGTCGTAACACGTCGTCCCTCAGTTGAGCACATTCGTCCTCTAGAATCTCGTTACGGGCTTCTAGCTCGCTCACCCGTTCCATCTGCTTCGCAACCTGTTGATTAAGATCATCAACGTCCTCGGACAGGCCCGCATCGTGTCGGAACCCTTCCCCGAGAGAATTGAGGCGTTCCCGAAGTTCACTTGACTTCTGTGATGTAAGGGGGTGCTCCTCCGCCTGATGTGCTATAGAATCTTCTAATTTGTTCTGGAGCATTACTTGCTCTTGAATTCTGATCTCCTTCTCCTCGATTTGGCTTTTGAGACGCTCTACCTCCCCCATCGCTTTTCCGGGGCAGAGAGTGATAGCGTCTTGGATATGCTGGAACTGCCCTTCCGTAACAATGTGTCCTTTACTAGAGGTATTGTTTGCGTCTTGTTTAGACTTTTTTAGTTCGTGTTCGAGAAATTTCTTTGCTTCGCTTTGTTTCTTTACCTCATTTCTGAGTGTTTTTGTCTCTTTCTGACTCATTTGAAGATGGCGCCGAAGCTTTTCTGTTTCATCATTGAGCTTTGTAGCGTGCGAACGAGCTTTTGAGAGCTGTTTCTCCACTTCTTGCTTGTTGCTGGATTCATGACTAAATCTCGTCACCAGCGCTTGAATCTGTGCGACCACAGACATGTTAAGACTGGCCAGAAAGGTAGTCTGGCTGTTATAGCACTTTTGAATATGTGTTGAGGCGATCTCAGACGACTTCGTCGCATTGACCTTGTCCCAGATGGATGAAATTTGTCCGTGTAGCTCTTCTATCGTCCGGTTGCGTTCGAGTAGCTGTTGATCGATAAAACTTATGTATTTGTCCGTTTGTACGCGTTCGCTTTGCATCCTACAAATCTCGGATTGAAGACATCCGATTTCGCGCCGGAACCTGTCGTTGTCCCAACGCGCCTCTCTCAAGGTTTGCGTGATGGTTTCAGTGAATAAAACATTTTCTGCCAGGGCACGTTTCAAATTTTCTGTTCCTTTCTGAAGCGTTGCGCATTCTACACGTTCTCGACCGTTTATTATGTGCTCATCGTTGATTTGTTGAGTCAGGGCCGTAATTTCATCTTTCGCGATAGACAGCTTTCGCTCGAGTTCTTTGATTGTCGCGCCTGTCGACGAGACCACTAATGGAGCCATGATTAGGTGGAACGATGGAAAGACTGAGGGTGGTTGCGTTGATGATAGTGCAATAACAGCGGCTAGATGACACGTGGAGAGCAAAAGGTGAAGACCTCCAGAGGGGGCGCAGCCAGGATTTATGCCTCAAGTTTACGGGGCCCGGTGCAGCTAGTGCCACGTGACCTTTGTACCGGTCCCTGTTTTATGCTTCAGCTTCTTCAAGACCTCCGTTGAGGACGACAAGGCGTTCTTCGAGAATCACAGCGACAAAACGGCCCTCGATCGCACCAGCAAGACTCGGGCGATGAAAAATTAGACTAAGCGCGAGATTGCTCAGCTTCGGCTCCGGATAACGGCCTGGGAGGACACCCGCTGTAAAGGCGAGATTCGATGTTCCAACGGCATAGAACAGGACATGATGGAGAGACACTGGCTGGTAAAGTATCGATGTAGGATGAACGGTTTAATTTTTATTTTTATTTTTATTTTTTTATAGTAACCTAACAACCATCAAAGTCCTTTGCCTACCATCATGACACCGCATCCGTAACCGAGCCTCAAAGAAAGAAAACACGCCTGTGTTTGTTCTAGGACGCAACGTTCAAATTTTATCATAAGCCCGCTTCCCTATACTTCACGCTGTCTTTCATATGTCCTTAATCCAGCTTAGTTACTGCGTACTTCCTGCCGTTGCTATGTTGCTCGACCTACACAGTCAAAATTCTAAGTGCTATCTAGAAAGTTATTAAAAGTGCCACCGTGTACATATTGATGCTTGAAGAAGGTTGTCAGTTCCGTGTGGAAGGGTAGGGTTGTCAAAGGCCGTGAATGTGAGATATGGTCCGTTCTGGGCCCAGCTGTTGCAGGTAAAAACATTATTGATAGCGAGCTCCGCTGGAATTTCGACTGTTGAAGAGCCACACATTTCTGATAACCCCTCAATAGTACTTACCGGAACTCTTGTCAATGCGAGCGTCGGTAGTCTGAATCTTTTGTCTGAAGCAGGACTGCTCGCAGTGGAGTTATTTAGATGACGACGAATTTTCTCTTCTCAATGCACTACCTACGGGGCTTGTATTGAGAGATGGGTTTCTTAACCGTGACAGAACATGGGTTCACCAGCTCAGGAGTAATCCATTGCGGTAAAAGCGTATGATATCGAATTAAAAAATAGCGGCATTGAAAGGTAAGAGAAAACAGAGCGATACTACCCTCACCTCACATTGAAAAGTCAACTACATGCGTTTACCTAAGATAGAGTTCAAACATTCTGAGCTTCAGCAATCACGTTTGGTGAGGCGAACGGAAACTGAATCGTAATCGATATCATGGTCACTGATGCTTCGGGGTTGCTTCAATTGCAGAATAATCCTTGCAACTCCATTCTAAAGGCGCATGCAGCACCAAGAAGTCCGTGAAAACAAGTGAGAAAACAAAGACCTCTGCCTCAATGAGGTCATCGATGAAAGAAACGGCCTTGTCTAATCACAGAAGCGAGGGGGCTGAAAGCTGACAAGGCTGGGGCCTGAGCTAACGCAAGCGCCACCAATATCAAAACCTGTACACTTAGCGGGGAACACGCACCGTTTCCGAGAGATGCAGGGTGATTGACTTGAAAAGCCTTAGCGCCTTGTCCCAGGTGGGTCCGCCACGTCCCCATGAGAATACGAAGTACGGAGTAGCGCAACTGTGGATTCGTACCGCTTGATTCCTGTTTCAGTCGCTGCTAGCGGGGCGCCATCTCCAGCCGCGCTAGGTCATGTGGTGGTCCGTGTGAGAGTCCAACTTGAGGAGTGAAACCTGATAGATTCGTCCCGGGGCCTTACCGCCTCAAGTCTTTGGACAAGGATAAGTCACAAAATTTCATTCACAAAAAGTAATGAGCGGAGGTACCCTCCAGCGATCACACAGTACACACTAGCCTGTGAACAGGCATACCGCTCCTAGCGGGGGTTTGCAGCTACATCGTCACCTATCCTTGTACATAGCCTAGAGTGAGGCTGGCCGCTGCTGTTAGCTTGACGCTGTGATGTTTGAAGCTCTGTATTTCACCAGTAGAACAATCATTTTTGTGCTCTGTATCTTGATTATTACTCATAAAAACACAGTTTGACTTCATAAGCTTACGTTCTAATTAAGATTACTTTGCTTGGCTTATTACTTCTCAACATGGAGAGAGTAAGGCTTGCCTTCGACCACCAAGAACGGGCCAGAGACCTCCTGACTCAGTAAGGAACAAGGGGGTTGAAAGTTACTAGTTGTTGGCTCCACCTTTCAATTCATGGTGGTTGCCAGCCATTATCACGGAATTCATATCGCACCACACTTTTGATACAACAACCCTCGGGTAGCCATCCGATAAGCTCCGGATTCGAACGCTACAGCAAGAAAAAGGGGATCTGTCAATGGCGTGGCAAACACATCAGCTCATGAGGCTCGCACGCATGTCTCGTGTGTTAATATTAAGTTCTCGGGTAACCGAGTTCTTTTTCTACATTTCAATACCGCCTGAGCTACCAGAGCAAGAACCGAACCTACACTTCAAAAACCCAGTAACTCAGCACTTGCTGGGCCTTTCGCCTCCGGGCTTCGCTCGATTGACCTACCTTATTTTTAACTTCGCTTCCCTCATCACCTTAGTCATATGAGTTCAGGGCACTTAAGGTGCTATTACCGTTCTTTGATCCAGTTTCAACTCTCACTATCGCCACTCAAACCTCTAAAACGCGCTGTGCTATGTTACCGGCCAATGCAATGACCGACAATCCCCAGTCGAGCAGTGATTCTCAGATCACCTTCAAAGTGAAGACCGTATCAGGGAGCACGCTCGATGTCACCATGGGCGGTACAGAAACTGTCTCTAACCTCTTGGACAAGGTGGCCAAAAAGTTCCATGAGGAGATTTCTGCAAACTCGTCATGCATAATCTTCTCTGGTCAAGTCATGGAGAACGATAAAGCTTTGAGCGCCTGCGGGATCAAGAGCGATAACACAGTCTTCATCATCCGTAACAGCGCTGCCAGCAACCAGCAACCGGATCCCGCTTCCTGTGTTAATACCGTCGCATCAGCACCCATCTCTGCCAATGAAGACATGATCAACCAGCCCTTTGCCAACTTAATGGGCACCATCGACGGCGGCCCTAGCGGCCCTCTTACAGAACTCAGGCGCAGAAATGGCGGTGTACGTGCGATGATATCTCTATATTGAATAGTAGCTGACATTCATTCTAGGAACCCTCCTCTTCGTTCGCGGTATTGGAGCGGCTTGTCTGGGGCCATCCTAACTATACTCAACACGAGCGCGCGGCTCTGCGGGACCCCGTCGTCGTCGATAACATGATCAGTAAATACTTTAGGCTACCAGACGGTCACGAGGGTAGACATGTACTACACTTATTGACGGAAGCTTCCAGTAGTAGCCCTGATATAATAGGCAAAATGATAGACGAAGTGTGCAGACTGTTCGACAGTATGGTTGTAGGGTTCCCCGCCCCTGGAATCACTGGCACTGCACCTGTGAATGTAGTCAATGGAGGAAGTTCGCAGGTCCAACAAGAACAGAATACTTCTCAGCCAGACTTGGCGGGCATTCAGGAGGGAAATGAGGGCGTCCATGACGTGATGGATCCTATACGAGAGTTGTATATGCTTCAATTCAAAGACAGGGTCGAAGACGTTTACATGGACCGCTACGCTGAGGGGTTGCGCCGATTGAATGATGTCGGCTTTTGCGACTTTGAACAAAATATTGAAGCTCTGAATCAAGCTGATGGATCTGTTGAGGATGCTATTGAATATCTCACGAGGAAGAAGCTGGATAATGTGCCTGATAGATCTTAATCTACTAGGCTTGGTGTGGAGAATTTGAGATTTGAGTGTCAGTCAGAACAGAATGGAGCTCATTTTGTGCCAAACAACGGGTCATACACGTCAAGTAACATTGATTCGGATTGAAAATAGATCTACCAAATATAGTCATAATGGCTGGGAGAATACAGAGTATCTGGGAGTCGCACTTATATACAAATAGAGGCTTATATTTTTACGGAATCATTTGCAGACACCTTACGATCAATTGTCGAAAGAAAAGAGAGGGGTCCGTGATGCTCTCTGCCTTCTTTGTAGCTAAAGCATGAGACAATTTCTTTTCAGTGATTGTACGAGGACTCTCAGAACGTACTCAGAGTGATATACCGGTGACAGTCGCCACACGTACGTCAAGCTTTAAATAATTTATTACGTAATCGAGGCTGGGAAACTTTTGCAAGTATTAATTTAATGACATCCTTGCTATAAAGAGAAAAGATGATTTGAGACGCAAATATGCAGCAGGCCGTCACTCCGAGGGGCACGCAAGACCCCGTCTGTAAAGAGGAATCGATCATTGACGCTATCCAGATGATGATCAATAACTCAGATTTAAGATATCAGCTAGAGACTATGTGCATGTTCTTGGATCTATGGGCGTCGTTCAAAAGACGGGTTAAGAGATCGACGGGATCAGCAGAAGCCCGGAACACACAACCTTGGCTTGAGGTCACGTCGTCATTGTGATCAAGTCTCACGCCATAGAATGCGTGATTTGTGATATGGAAAGATATGGAGCTTTGGCCCGTCGTACGGTGGCAGCTTCTCAGGAAATGATACCACAAGTGGCTTTCTCGGCATACTGGAGAAGCTGGGTGGAAGAAGACGAGGTGTTTGTGATAAATGTAAGTACACCATGAACCTTCGCCCACTGCCATCCCTAGAGTCCGCCACATTTCGGGTACCACCCTGCCAAAACAACATCCACACCATGACTTAATCGCGTTACTTGAACAGATTGAAACGCCGGAATAAGGTGGAATACCTATCATTCTCCTTGTGAGAAAATCGCAGACAAAGAGGAGCAGGCTTGTCACGCGATCTACTGGATCAATCGACGAGGTCGACAACAAGAGTCAGCTAAAGACAAACCACGGTCCGGCAGACCCCGAATCTTGTCAGATGAGGACAAAATTCATATCGAGATACTCGACAGGAATTACCCTGTTATCTCATATATCATTGATGGGACGCAATCAAGAAGGTCAATCCGCCGCTGGCTTCTCAAGGAAGGGACACAAAATAGGCTCGCACTTCAACGCCCGTTTCTCAGCGAAGGAAGTGCCCAATAGAGAAAAGAATTGTTCATGCGACTGACAAAGTAATAGATATGAGTCTTTTTGGTACTGTTGGTGGTTTTCTGATGAGGTCTCAATCGACCGTAGAGACGGTGACTACCAAGTGATCATTTTATGGATCTGTTCGTCCAGACCCGCCTTTTATAGACAACACCACAGGGCGAGAAACTTCACAAGGATAAGCTACAACCTCGCAGACGACCTTTGAGACACTTGCAGATGTTCTTTGGTGCAATCAACTATCATAAACCGTCCTTTTGTCCCTTTGCCTGGCGACTCTGGGTCTGAGAGGGGGGTAGATCATGGCTGGCCTAACGGCTCTCACCAACACCAACGTTCTAGAAGGTCTACAGCGGATCTACGTTGACCACGACATAAAGATCGGCATTTAAAGATTTGTGTTTTGTTGCGACGGCGAATGGATCTACTCCATCATCGACGATAAACTTTATCTTAGGTCTCCAGGATGCCTGTCTGTGCAGAAAGAGCTCCCCCAACAAATCGATCGTGATGACAAAGAGGGTGTCTATCGTAAGACGCATCAGTCTGGCTCCAAGGCGATTTCCTTTGCGCAGTGCAGAGATCGGAACGAGACTTGGGTCTTTCTGTTTGTGAAGCCCTTCGCCAAGACTCATTGTGATTATGTATCATTGATGGGTGATTGGATCGATGAGGGTATTGAAGACTTCTCTGGCGAAGTTACTACTGAGCTCTTGACGTCTGATATTCTCGATATCGATGAGTTCTAGGATAAGTAAATGTCATGAGTCAACAATGAATTCCTCTTTGGCACTTCTACTGGTCTACTCGAGCACGGTTACGGTGAGCGCACTAGTATCTCTAAAGGACTTATTAATCCCGTCGTGTAGGCACATACTCTAGAATCTGGACAGCGCTTGGTCAAGCTTCGCAAGTATTGGGGTAAGGTCCGCAAGGGTATCTGGGAGGGAGTTTGGAGTGATGGGTCCAAGGAGTGGATTACTGGAGTGCAGGAGGAGATGGATCACAATTTTGGCAGCGACTCTGTTTTCTGGATTTCTTACGAGGATCTTATTCGAATATACTCTCACTTCGACTGTAATTAACTTTCCCGCTATCGCGACCCATGGTTCTCCTCTCATTCTAGTTCTTTCACAGTTTGATGGTCGATATTTCAGGGGTCTCCACGCACAGTACTCCTTCCGTCTTCACTTCCGGCTTCACTGCGAAGACTGCCTAGATGCGGAGCACTGCATTATACGCGCTCACGGTAACTATCTCATGGAGTGTTCAGTGTCTGTTGAACTGCCTGACCTCCTTGCTTGTAACTATGCTGTCTACCTCAAGGCCACTGACGAAAGAGACTCCAGGGTTCAGTCTGTTGAGTAGGCCGTCAAGTGCGAGGCTACCAACAAAACTGGAAGTGAGAAGCTCGCTCAAGTTGGCTACGCTTACGATGTAGCCCATAGCAAGTCTTAGGACCACATACAACAACGCGGACAAGAGAAAGCAACGTCGCGCAGAGTGGGAGGTTGAGCAGAAGCGCCTTAATAAGGAGTTCAACGCCAAGGTCAAGGCTGAGGACGAGAAGGCTGCTGAGGCTAAGAATAGGGCTCAAGAGGCTGATGACAAGGCTTTGAGCAAAAGAACTAAGGAGATCAAGATTTCAGAGGACAAGGATGAGCCTGTTGTTGATGAGCACCGCAAAGGACATGGCGGTTAGGTTATTTCCGTCTCAACTGGATCGCCTCACTTAACTCCCAAGTCCATGGACTCAACAACCGAGGGTACTGAAGAAAAGCACGAAGTTCCTCCAGTCAGTGGAGGACCTCCCTCAACCATCAAGGAAGAGGAGTCTCTTCTCGTACGCCCTCGAACTGCCTACGACTCTGCAGGCGAATCATCTCATTCGCCCATCGAAGACTGGGAAGCCCTCTACAGCAGCAACGGCATGGCTCGCAAGCCTCGCCTCACACAAGCCGACCAAGCCGCTGCCCAAGACTACTACGCCCCCAAGGAGGAAAAAATGCCCGAGCCCTGGAACGCCATTTGTATAGTCGGCGTGCGCATATACTCCAAGGACGAGAGCCTCGAGCTACGCACCGTGACGGAGGGCAGTGAGCTTCTAGGGGAAGGGGTGGGCTCAAAGGGGGCCACTGACCATGGCGACGCCCAGTTCAATCCGGGTGGTGGAAGATCTGACGATGAAGCTGCTTCCGATACAAAGCAAGGTGGTGGCACCAAGGTGCAAGGGATATCTGTGGACATCAGCAAGGAGAGCAAATACGCTGAAGAGTATACGATCTGATGAAAACACACTGCTCCAAAATGACTTACATCCATGTCAACTCTACTTTCACCGCCAAAGTCGGTTCCTCGACAGGTCTGCGACTTTGACCTTGAAGCTTGATATTAGTATGAATGCACCAACAATTTGGCGACTCCCATTAATAGGCGCGCTGACGGGTAAGAAGAAGTGGACGATGGGTGAGGCCATATCAAACGCAATACGCGTGAAGAGCCTATGGGGACGACTTGACAAGTTTCACCCCTAGCACCGGCGGAGAGCTTCTCGAACGACCGCGAACAAGATGATACTTTGCCGCCGCCGTACCCTTAGCGCTCTGGTAATTAGCGGGAATGAAATCTCTATAACTCGGGAGACACGGAGGATCAAGTCCAGTATATCCTAAACGAGTTCGGCAGCACAATTGCCTGGGGATGTTGATCCTGCCCCACGATTGACGAATATTTCACTGTTGAGTTGGTGGGCCTTCTGTCCATCTGGGCCATGGACTCAACACCTCGCTTGGTTACCAGGGCATTTCTCTCCCTCATACATGCTGTCGGCTTCCATCTTCTGGTCCTTTGGTAGAATTGAACTGGACTCACGCTTACCCTGCGCTATGCTGAGATCGTATTGTCGCCCTGTCAGCATGCTACGGCAGGATTGCCCTTGTCTTTGCTGCGGCTTCCATTATCGGTACTCTTTTCCTCTGATCCTCGCAGTGCATATTTTCTGACTGGCATTCGAGGATGGGGTGCAGTGAGGTCGTTCCGGTGAACTGGACTCACCTTAGTCGTTGCGGCGGGTTTGTCAGCTCCCAGGTATTTGATGGCGGTGGTTTTAAGGAGAGCTGTCGCGATATAATTATACCTCGAGAAAGAGACTTCCTCATTAGCGTGGGGTTGGGAGTCTTGTGTAAATATGGAGTTCTTGCATATCTCCCAGGAGACTATATCAAGGAAACGTGCGGCTTGAGGGGCTGGACGGAGAACATGCCGTACGACCTGAAGCTCAGACTACGGTTTGAGAACAGCGCAGATGAAGCGCTGTCGAGTTGACGCCTCTAAAACAGAGGGCATACTGAAACACATCTCCCTTGATCTATCTGGCTAGGTTGTTTATACCAGCCTTCGCGCTTGAGATTGACCGATCCAAGCCTGCATTGACGAACCACTTCCAGTGTAGCAAAGCCATGGTCTTTGAGTTATCGAAGGGCCTCGTTGATCTTTAAAGGATAGACAGCCGCGCCGATATGGCAAAGAACTGCAGGCCCCAACTCGTCCTGCTCGCTGGCCTTTCATTAACAATGATGTCGATAAACTTCTGAAGCACTGAGCCAGTCGCCATGCATCCCATTCCTCCCACCTGTCCCAGTACTCCGGAAGACGACCAAGATGGTCAACCTGTAGTCAAAGAATAAATGACGATCATGAATGCTACGAAATCGTTTGCGATTCGCCGTATGCGCGATGAGAGTCGTGACATGGATGCCGACGGGGACTTGGACGGATAACATCGGTCATTCTCTCGGGAACAAGGAAACACATAATGCAATAGTGTGTGCCCGTCTCTACCGGAGCTGGTAGTATGTAAAACTTCCGCCTTGAAGGCAAGGAGACAGAGTTACAATCCAGCCTGCTGATGGACGGATAACCTGAATGCATCGGATGAGACTTCCGCCGCGGCAGCACTCAGAAGCATCCAGCCAGTGCTACGTCGACCACTGACACCGCAGGTACGGAAACCAGTAAACCAAACAATGCAAAATATTCGCAGACTTCTCCACCAATAGTTATACAACGGCCACTAAAGTGCTAGTGTTCTCGATAGTCACTATTGAACAAGACAAAAGTTGTGTCGTGGGGTTTGAGCACCGGAGCCTCCGGGTACCTTCCGTTGCTGAAAACATCCAGTGTGGCTGCAAGGCTTCTCAAGATAATGAGCACGGGATCTATCAAAGCATAGTGGACTTTATATATTCGGTTCGGGCGTTCGAGCGGGCAAGCATCTCGATTAGGCAGAGAAATACGCCTCGGGCGTGGTCAAAAGAGGTATGATGGAGGTGTCAATTTGCTTGAGGATGATATTGATATCGTTGACTGTCACTACTGCAAAATCAGCTTTTTGGGAGCGAGGTCGAGGGGTAATCTAAAAATTGACTACACTGCGTGAATATCTGCTAGCACAACCAAGCTCTTCGATACCGCCAATAACTTCGCGATTATCTCCAACTTAGTAAGCAAGACCTCGACGAATCTCCTCGAGCCGTCCCATACGCAAAAGACGTTCTTGTTAGTGTGTTCCCCATCGTAGACAAGTTCGACGTCCACCACAATACGATCAACTAGGACGTCTCCAAGATCAGCACGTTCATCCGTGTATGGTCGATCATGGACAGGATCAAGGCCGGGCTGGAGGAGAAGCAACTCTAATGGGGTCTCAACACGAAAGACTACAGGGACTATAACAGGTCCACCGGCCCGATTGACCTCTACCCCGAGTAGAAGCCAACCCTCCAGATCGCCGCGACGGAGAACGAGCTCTTCTCGGTTGCTTTCGAAGACTCCAAGTCCGAGTTCTGGTCGTTCTTCGATCTGCGTCTCTTCGGCGAGCCCTCTCGAGCAGGACTTGGCCAACATCTCTGAGATGTTCATGGAGGGGCAGATGGATGAGGCCGTGGGGCACCAGATCCCTCGAGCATGAAACTAACCCATAGCCAACTGAACAAGCTGAGTTATAATTTTTCAGCCTTTGGCACGTAACGAATTGACTACCGCAGGGACCATCGGCAGACGGGCCGTGCTGGCCTTGGAAACATTGCTAGGTGGGACTTGCGCGGCAAGGACGGAGTCAAGGATAGTTGCGTCTGTGAAGAGCGGAAGAGATCGATGAAGGGAGAGGAGTCACAATGAGTGTAGACTTTGGGTTATGATAGAGTCGCGGCTAGGAGGAAGTTTGTCGGGCATGACGATACTAACCTTTTCCTTATGACATTGATCTTTGGCTGGATTTGGACGCTGTTCTCCAGGTCGTCGGTATCTTTATGTTTACTGCAGCGTGAGTCGAGAAGTGAACGCGGGGCTGGCTGTAGACCTTTGGCGCCCAGCACTCCACATGGCGCGTAACCTGCCTTCCCAACCCCTACCACTTTACCAAACTTTCCAAGGGGCCAACCGCGACGACATTGCGCTCAACGATGAGTTCCATGATGCCGCTCTCGATCAGAGGTTCCACTCTTAAGAAACCCTCTGCAGATGACGAACCTGCCCTTGATGATCAGCCTGGGAGAGAGGCTGTACGAGAACAAAGTTACGCGTGACAACAGCGCTGCCGCCGCCCTTGGCCCAACATTTCCGCTTAACGAGTTACGCAGATTACCACTCCTGTTTCGCTCCACAGCAAGCACCCAAGAAATCGCTTCCGATCAAGACCTTCGCGCGGCAACACTCGTCCCACGAACGCTCCCCACGACCGAATATTCGCGCCGCAACAATCAGTCAGGGACCGCTCTTGATCCAGACATTCGCTCAGCAATAAAGACAAGAAGCAGGATTGAGCCGGAGGAGTCGAATGTCCTGGCCAGACTTCAAGACGGAGGCCCCTTCAGGTCTGTGCACACTGGGCAGAGGCTTGGTGATCTTGCTGACCTGCTTCCAGTTTTCAGCAAAGCGCCCCGATCAAACCTACGACGCATCTCGCGCCCTCTTAAGCCCGTCCGACTTCGGCAAACCCCCTCTCGCCTTCCCAGTCGACGCCGCAGCTTTGGCCGAGAGTGGTCCACTGGATTTCCCGAGCATTTCAGATATCTATCCTCCGTTATAGTCGACAATGACCAAGATGTTATCAATCTTACAGTTGACGGCATGACTGACCTGACTATTGACACTGGCCTTGTCGAGCGTGGCTAGCTGGCCCTGACACCGACCCGGCTGCTCAGCGTCGACACCCAGGCCCGCTCGTTTCAACACCTGCGTGCGTGCGTATTCCCTGGGTAGCCAACTTGTCGAGCTTGTCCTGGTCCAGGTCGTGCTTCGGTGCCAATCGACCGGCGCAATTACCTTCCGTGGCACATCTGTCATACAAGCCTGTGACGGCGTGACCAAGCTCCACGAGATACTATATGAGGCATGCATGCTCATCTACCGAGGTGACGACCGACGAAGCCAAGATCTCATGGATCCCGACCTTTGCGCCGCCACCTGAGTACAACCACTCACCTTCACCAAACGTGCCCCGACTTCTACCGACCAGGCCGTTTGATCTGCCGCTGGGAGCTGGGCGGCCAAGGGAAGGAGCTGGAAGAGTCCTTGGTCAAATTGGATACCGCTGAAGTCCAACATCCGGAGTGCAAGCTATGGCATTTAGCAAGAAGCTACGGTCAAGAAACGTAGTAGGCTCCTTCACCGACAGGGGTTTCGTCGACCTGGGATGCCCGATGACCAGCCACAGGTGCCAAAGTGAGTGACAGCAATACACCATGTTCGACACCTGCTCGGGTGCTGGTGGGGTGTCGCGGGGCGGGGGGTCCCTGTGGCTGGCTGTATGCGGTTGATAAGGTGCAAGAGGTCTGGGGCACCTGCTAGACGAACCTTCCTGACCCTGCCAGTACTCTCCCTCCGCCTATACATGCGCACCGGCGCATGATGGTAAACATCTTCGCACTCTGTATCTGCAATCAGTTGTTAAAGAGGCTACGTCGAGGGATTGCCGCTGCCGAGCAGAAACTCGGTCCCGCAAGAAAACGTCACATCAAGCCATTCAACGGCTCCATCGGTGGCTTTACGCAAGGGCACTCAGTGCGCTGGTAGGTTGTCAGGCTCTACACCTGGGTTCTACCCGAGCCCGAAGGCGGCTGATCATAACTGCGGTGGCAACTGGCGAGACACCCACTCTTCCCCGAGACTACACAAGGAGACGGCCTGCTCCCCTATAACAGCATCAGAAAGGCGCCCCCGCTGATGATTTGGTGTCACATTGGGGCGAGCTTTAGGACATTGATATTGCGTGGTGCTTTGGTCCTGCTAGAGCACTCCACCACTCAGAGCAGCTTGCAGAGATTGTCGCCACGATAGTGGAGGACTTCTACCACCTCGACGGCGGCACGCAGAATCTGACTGCGGGAGTTGACAAGCCTGCAAGGATTCCTCTGCCATACCGATTCTTCAGAGGCAACGCCTCGATTCATCAAGAATCCTGCGATTGACTTGACATAGTAGGAGAGTTTTGGGAGATAGCATATTGTGATTCGGGTGGTATTGGTTGGCAGGCTTTTCTGGTTGACGGTATCGAACAGAAACAGGATTTATACGATTTAGCAAGGGATTGAAAGCTTGTTGGCCTATATTGAATGGGTCAACCAATTCACAACCATCATGACGACTTTTCATTTTGACTGGCATGTTTCTTTGCCAGCCGCGCCACTGCACACTCCTAACTGCCTATCTCAGCGATGCACTTACCTAATGATCGCCTCCATCTTCAAGCTAGTTGCAGGTTGCAACAGCAGTGCGTAGAGTTGCAGTAGTTCTGAGATGTCTTCAACTGAACGTCAACGTTTCATAGCAACCATTACTTACAGGCATGAATCGATAAAGCAATGTCACACCGTATCAGATGGGTCTTTTCTCGTGAGATCACGCTATTAGAGATATCGAGTGCTCTAAGATGGAACCGTACCGTTACCAAGTCCACTTGAGAGTCTACTACAAATGCTGGTAGGGGGTATCTGATGCCTGATACTGACATAAATGAGATCACCAGCAGCAGGACCATGAGTTTGTAGTCGAAACACAAGAGCATATCAGCTCCGGAAATACCCCATCAAGACCGCAACGTATACCTAACGACACGGCTACAGCTGCACTTGGCTAAATCCTTGAGCAGTTCGAATCAATGCTTTTCATACCCGGTTCCATCGCAAACTCAGTGATGATGTTTGGCCGACCATAATACGGGGATCATCAGCAATTCAGTAACAATACCAACTTGGGTACCGACTGAGCTCGCTATGAGAGTCAAAGAAAGTCGACTCTTGTGGTATTTTTGATCTCTCGGGCGTGTTTCCATATCTAACGTCGACGATCGTTCCACTGGCAGTCGTGGCCTCCTGTTTCACCAGTGACGAAGGAGAATGTTGCCAGTGAATTGCCGGATACAAAGCCGGCAAGTTAGCTTACGAGACTAGGCACACAACTGCGTCACTGGTCGTCACATAAAAGAGGTCGGTGATCAGTATGGAGAATTCACCTGCCAACGCTCTATGACATGGTGAGTGGACGTGAAGAAAGTACGGATTGACCGAACAGAGCACAGAGCTTTCGCACCAGATTGAATACTTGGTCTCGAATGGGCCTAATAGTAGATCATTGTGCTTGATAAATAATTAGACCACTCAATAGTCGGGTAGTCGGTGTTTTAACTGGGTGACCGTTTGATAGCTTTTCTGCGGGACGAATAATGGAATCGATGATGTAGACGTGCCGGGTTTAGTATTAAAAGCTACCCTACATCTGCCGTTCAATGACCACAATGCAGTTTGCATTCTCGACCTCTTCTTCATTTATATGGTATAGTCAGTGTTCGCCTGGCTCGATTCCACGTAACAACGACCAAAGTGGTCAATGATAGAATGGTCCGAAGCCCTCACGGAGGCACCGCGAAAAGAGTTGAACATTTGCTGCCACTGACCATGGGATTTCTGAGATCTCACTACGGGGTAAATCGGTGGAATTTGTGAGTGGGGAAGGTGCCAGCCGCGAGTTATCATGGAGCCCCGCCTACTGACAAATAATCTTGAACATGTTACCCTCTACAATGCCTGGAGCCACATTTCAGCCAGATCAAGCTTCGTAACACAAACGTACATTTCTATTGCCAACATCCGCCCTCTACAACCTCTTCTTGTCACAACAGCATTGTCATACATCACGGACGAATCGCCGTCAACGAACTGTTCGAGAGAGCCTGTGCGAGAAGCTTAGTGTTATGCGAAGGAGGCGCGTCATTGGCCAAGAGGGAACCGCAGCGCGCCCCAGCACCAGTAATAAACCCGACCGGCGACAGTGGACGAATACATTGTGGCTTTCTCTCGCTTTTCCTCCGAAACAGATCCAATGCTAGCTTCAAGGGGCTCAGATCCGTGAGACAAGTGGTGTCCTGAAAAGCAGACGCCGTGGCCTGACTTTTCGTGATTAGCAGACGGCCACCTTCAGTAAGCTCTGCGAAGCTTTTCTCCCCGAACACCCCGCTTTCAAGAATCGAAATCTCCTATTCACCTTTCGGAACAAATGTGCTCAACACCTAATAGATAGCAAACGAGAACACGCTCAAACGAACCCCTCCGAAGCCCTCAGCGACGTCGCCGAGGAAATGTTTACAGGGAGACCCCAGCGACACCAGGACGGACGCCTTACCATCGACGAGGCCTCGAACCGCTGCGATCGGATGGGGCTGAAGACTCGCGTGCGCCTGCTCCGAAAGTGTCAGCTAATCCAAATAATGTGCAAACAAATGTGCACAGCCTCCCTCCACTCAAGATTAGCATTCACCCCCATGGCTCTTGGTTTGATCGGAGAACGACTCGGGGACTGAGCGGAGGACTGAATCGGCATTACATCGACGTCGAAAAACAAGAGAGCGATAAGCATCATCGGAATACTCACCTGTCGCGAAACTATCCACGCACCATCTACAGGAATGTTGATCGGTCGTTGGCATTGCCCCGTAGATGGACACGCCAAATTACCAAGAGTCAGATTGACGAGCTGCCACTGAGGAAGGACGACAGGTAGAAGCCGTCGACAACGAACGATAAGCCGACGCCTGGTCCACCAGACACATCCACGCCAATTCAATGGAAAGCCGCAAAGGACTAGGGTTAAGGGGTGCCAAGACCCGTTGGTGGTGTGTTGTAGGCAGAAATCTCCGGGTGGGTAAGGGTAGACTCGATTCGGCCCGACCGTGACATCTCATGTGCAGAGCTGCGATCTTGCCTACACACGCCATCCCGTTGCTGGCGAGAAGTGGCTTCGACCTTCATGATGCAAACCGATTCGTTCCGGGATTGCAGGTGTTAGCCAACTAGATCATTTGTACAGTGAAGAAAGCTGAGCTTCCGCCTGTATTCCGAAATGTCCTCTCATCTCATCACTTGACCCCGATTCATCACATGCCGATGAAAGCTCGGGGCGTCCTCATTTTTGATGTTCTCGCATAATTTATATAGACGGAGCACAGTTGGAAGGCAACTATCGTACTCTTTTTAACTGACTCCCGCCTTCCTCAGATACTGAGCTGGCTGAAAATTATTGGGAAAAAGTCGAGTACTAAGTTCAAGGCCCACAGGCTATTTTTGAGAATCATGGTTGCATCATGCGTCAAAATTCACAAACGGTGGTGGGAAACGATGTCAGGTTAACATTATGTCTACAGAGTCTCGCTGCGTAGACTCCGTAAGGATCTCGAAATTGTTTCTTCGGCTGTCGCCAGTGCTTGCCTTTGGTACCTTGCAGATATAGTACATGGCGCAAGAGATTCATGCAAGTTTCTGCTCGCTGGCGTGCGTGCCTGTGACACGAACACCAGACCTATTTCTATTTCTAGCATCAAAGCTTGCCAACTCATATCGTTGCACAATAATGAAGTTGAGTTGGTGAAAACTACAGTTCTAGTGGATAAGATAACGCACGGGACTGGAAAAAGACCTGCTGTTCTCTCATGCCAAGATATTGTAAACTAAAATCCAAAAGGACGTGATATAGCAATTGAACAGTTGATCTCAGTCAATATTCAAGCTGCCATTGATGCGAGAAATAGAAGTAATTGACGATTTATTTCGAAGGTTGAAAACGCATAAATGTCGTAGACGTTCTTCTTAGCATTGACAAAGTATATTGACAATATATGGTTTCATTACACTCAGGCAAGTATCTAGCAGGAAACAATCATTTCAGTATCGTATGTCCGACGCTTCATTCGTCAAGTTGGAGGCTGTGAGTACTTAACAACAATCATATGGAGAGGCCGTGATGTCCCTCGCCTGCTGTAGCTATGCTATTCTCATACGTAACCCGTTTCCAGCCTTTCAATTCCGACGGATCACGAGACCATACTGTCAGTGGGAAAAACCGTTCGTTTCTCCTCAAAATGACGTAAGAGGAATTTCCCGAGTACTCCACCGTGTTGATCTCGAAGTCTGTAGAAACATCAGTTAAGTCATTATCTTAGATAAAGGGATGGTACAAATCTTACGTTTGTTGTGGGGAATCTGAGCAAGCATAGCTGTCAATGACTGTAGAGAAGTTACAGGTTTGTTATCGATATGTGTGATGAAAATCATTGCAGTTGCGCGATATGTATGTGCGGGCGAGCCGCGGTGAGTGCAAGTAACGTAAGCTTCGCTGGGCAGTTTCTGGATGGACTGCCTAACAATGCGGTGTGGCATCTGAACAAGCAAGCCGTCAAAACATACAAGCTGAGTTGTTTCGAAATCATCTTCAAGAAGCGTCTGAGAGGGAAAGACCACGAACCTCCAAACTTTTCAACCACGAGGGTTTGGTGATCAAGGTCAATGAAAACGCTAATGAGCACTTCAAAATCGAGACGGGGCTCGTATGACTGGGCATCGAGTATAGCCTCTCAAACCCAGGAAACGCATGATTCTCCAAGTTCTCGGGAGACACTGCGCATTCGAGAGGCTCTAAGGAGACGAGTAATGCATCCAAAATGACTCTCGGAATCACGGCCTCGGGACGTCAAAACGCAGAAAGACTGATACAGTCCAACACATTCCGATCATCCTACCAATCAATAAAGAGCGGCCGGCAAGCATGCTCTCCGTGCTGGTACCGTGGGAGGTTTGTAGAGCTTCCCCACCAGCGGAAGAAAACGAGAAGAAACGAGCCAAAACGCAACTTTGGAACAAGCACCACTGTGGACGACTGAGGGAAATGCTCAAAAACGAGCTCAAGTCAAAAAAGTCGAAGGAATCTCGCATCAGAGAAAGCCTCCAGACATTTCTCGTTAAATACGACAAATATGGCGTCACCTTACATGCAAAGGCTGTTGCCATGTTGCATGCCCATTTACTCTACATCCCGTATGGTATAGGAGGCTCCAAGGACAATCAGTCCTATGTTGAGAACGTAGATACCACGTATCCGTATCACATACTGGAGATCTCAATCGGCGCGCATCTCATAGTAGCCTCTCGACCTGAGCTGGTGTACTTCATAGCCCATTTCCAGCCAGCCTCCGAAGATACGGCTGAGGGATGGGAGCGAGCAGAGTTGGAAGCGAGGAGGCAGGCCAAGAAGGAGTATCTGCGTAATGCCTACTTGTGCTGGACCAAAAACGAGAAAACGTGAGTGTGCATGTCTTCTCCAAAGACGCATGGACTTTTTGTGAAACTTGGAGGGTAACCGCTTGACCGTGGGGTTTAGGGATGAACAACGCATTGCCATACTCGTTGTGATTGGAACAAAGTTCAAGGTTCTCTGTGTGGACAAACAGCCGAAGCTCCCAGCGAGGACTGAGAAGCCCCCAGAAAGTGAAGTCAACGAAAGTTGGTATTACGACCCATGGAAATCCTGCTCAAACATGCAAACTGATCTCTGTCGTGCCTGGACTGAGCTAACGTTTGGCTATGTCAATGAGAGAGAACAGCCCTATGACCTAAAGGATGCCAAAGATGAAGGTGCTATCATCAAGGCCATGGAATGGTTGGTTGAGCAAGCAGAGTCGTGCGATCCCACGGGTTGGGAAGGAATTGCGAGGCAAGGCGCCAATTTCCCTTATCGAATAGAAGCCGCAGGATGATACTTGAGTGTCTAACGCCCTATTAATTGATGAATCCATCCGTACTTCTCTGCAATTTGGAGAATCGTATTTGTAGGTGCTCGAGAAAGCCGTGTTGGCAAGCATATTCTCCAAAGAAGAACTGTGTTAGATGGCAGTAGCTTGAAAGAGAATGGATAAGTCGTCATATTCTCCAAAGAAGAACTGTGTTAGATGGCAGTAGCTTGAAAGAGAATGGATAAGTCGTGGCAGCATAGACCGCTGGTGGGTGAAAGCAGCTTGCGTCTAGTAGCACAACTCGAATCAGAACGGCTCGGCTTTACCTAGCCAAAGGGGAAGGACCTACATGGTTGTAGACGTGTAGGTTGGAGATTTCTGAGTTGTCGCTGGTATCTTGATCCTGTTGCTTGGATTTCAGGCCCTTCATTGTGGAAGGGAGCCCACCCAGGACGGGGTCGGTAGTCATCCATTCATGGAAAGCGAGGCGCACGTCCTGGTGGAAACGACCGATTCATTCGCAATATTCCACCATGGCTGCCCTACGACCCAGAAGCATATGCTCGAAAACCTCCTGCACGAACGTACCCAGATGAATCTCGGGAGCAGCAAAGGTCCAAGGCGAGAGACAACTAAGCCCTGCAAGATTACCAAATAACGCCGACTTGATTACATACTGATGCTTAATGAAGCAGAAGACATATTGACAGCACAGGGTAGTCATTGCTGGTATAAGTTAGCAGTGGTGGCATCATCTCTGTTCTAGGCGACCTATAGCGATTGCAAATTTGATGGTGGCTCGCAGTGCGTCCATGTTGGGTGTCCACTTTTGTCCGTCTGATATAGCTTGCCCTCAGTGAAAGGCGAGGTTGCCGTGCTTCTCTTCTATGCCGTGCAGCATCATATCCTTGTGGTGTGTCGTCCACTTCACGCATCGGAAGAGAAGTGCTCTACTGTTTCTTTCGCCTGTCTCTCATTGGTGGATGTAAGACTTACGCGAGCGTTGTCACACTAATGCATTGGTCCAACAAACAAAACTTGCTCGGTGTTCTCTGGGTTTATGAGATGGAAGAAGAATTTGATCGTGCTATTCAGGAAGGGACATACGATGATGGATATTTTCCTGGGCGTTTGATAAAGGGACTCAAGAAGCTTACAGATAAAGTCGATTTTATTCCTGCAGCAGTCAGCTATGGTCATACATTCGATGTCAGACGCAGAATTGACGGAGTGGTGCCCGCCAGTGACTGTACTGACCGCATGCTTATGATGATGATGCCATTCGTGCTATCATCAAACATGACCTGGGAGAAAAGAATGAAATTCATTGCAGAGCCCTATGTCAAGAATGAGCGAGCTTCTTGTGCGATGGTACCTACGCGGGTGAGTGCCTGGAGCCTGTTGAGAGGAAAATTTGCCCTTCTCGATACTTGCTGTTCTAGAATGATAAAAACAATTAGGCTAATAATATAGAGTATATCAAAACAAAAAGGATTACAATAGATCTAAAACCCATCTTCAGTATGTGTATAAAAAGCAACTGTGGCTACACAGCAAGGCCCATGTCGGTAGCACTAAGCAGTAGTCGTTCGTCTCTGTCATGAGCTTTTGACCCGAGGCTTCTGTACCAGTCTAAATTTCCAGATAGTACATAGATAACTCCGTCTGCAACAGTTAGTTATGGCTAGTTCTTGCGATGCATTCCTCTTACCTCCATTTCCTTGCGAAACGAAAAGCTCCTCATGGCGCGCCACCCTTAGTAGCTGAGTAAGCATCTTTCGTTCAAATTTATCGGCTCGTACATCCCAAAACTCCTCTATTCTATTCCATAGAAGCTCGCAAAAGGTGGACCAAAACTCTAACTCTTATCAGTCTCTGCACAGAGGGACAGGCATAAGACTTACCAGGTCGCTCCATGGAACCATTAGACGTTCGCCAAAACCTTAAACTATCTGGACGGTCGATCTGAGCAAGAAACCTGAGCTGCATCTCGTAGAAGGCATCCATTTCTGCTTGGTCTCCCAAGTTCAGCTTGCGCCGTCTGCCAAGACAGACGTCCAAACTTTCCAATTCGTGGGCCTTATCGCATTTGTAGCAATGGTATAGCGTCGGTATTACCTGATGAGCCGCACAGCTGTGGTTTTCTAGTCCCGGACTTTTTTTATAGACTTTCTGGCAGTACTGGCAGCCATACATTGGTTCCTTTATGGCACTCTCCAATATCTCCGTAGGTCTCCAAGGAATTTCTCTGCTGATATCCTTCGCGCTATAGCCTAGTAAATGCAGGTCATACATGAATCGAACTTCATGTCCACACCACTTAGGGTTTCTTGGAGTAGAGTTGTGGTGGAAGTATTGGTGGCGTCTGAGGTTTAGATCCCCTTGGAACCATTTTCCACATTGTTCGCTTCCCATTGCGCATTTGCGTTGGCATTCGTGTTGTTGTTGAGCTGCATCAAGACGACGGTTACAAGCCATACAGAACGTCAACTTGAAGAACCATTGATGCCTGAGATAGTTAGCAAAGTACATATAAGATAAATAATGTGATCACCTATAGTGTTGGAGTACTATATCCCAATTCCGTTTTCATGTAGCATGCGTTGAAGCTGTGTTTGCCGTATGCAGCAAACCTTTCAATACCTTGATGACAGTTACCAAGGGGTGCGCTGCCAAGGATACTGTGTTGAACGGGCTCATAGTGGCTTTTTTTGAACCAGAGCTGGACATCTTTCGCCCATTCTCTCTGATATTCAATAGTCTCCATTGTCACAGGTGAAGACTCAGGCACGGATTGGATATCAATTGTTGTATAGTACAGGGCAACGTGTTTTGATGATTTTCTTTGGTGGGTTAATAAGTGGCAAGAGCACGAAGGTTGGTACTCACGCGCAAATCTCATCGACCTGTTCTTGGCACGTTGGAAATTCTTCATGGACGACGGAAGTCGCGTAATGGGGCCAGTCTATTATCACTGGTGATGCTGATTTGACTCCAGCATATGTTTGGTTGTTGCTGATCATTGTGGCTGTCCAGTAGATTGGGTCTGCCAGAGCGAACAGCACGGCGAGGCCGGGGACATATACTATTTGAGATTATTGGCTAGCTGGTAACCCCTGTAATATAAAGCCTCCATGGCTGCTAACAGGGCTGGAACATGGCGACACATGGACTTAGCTGAGTCCAGGGTCCCCAGTTAAAGGCCGTAGAGGGCGTGTCGGGGTGAGTACTACTCCGTACACGATTCGGACCCTAAAAGTTTAGCTTCTCCACAAGAGCCCAAGTTTCGTGGGGGTTGACAGCCCCTTGCAGCCGGAAGCACTTTCCGCCCGCTAACCCCAGCCTCCAGATAAACCCTGTCGTCTGGAGATGGAGTACCAACTTTAGAGGGTACATCCTTTCCTCTAGAGGGTTCTAGAGGGTACATCCTCTCATTAGCCCTCCATGCACGGATACTGATGCCTTACCTCTACGTGTTAATGCTGATCCCTGTTTCAAGCTCAAGCCGCTGAGTCCCACTTCAGTCGAGAAACTGCCGGCGAGCCTCAATCGTCACTTCAGGGGCGCCCGAGCCCAATGGTTTCCTCCTCCTGGTGGGGTGTGTTTAGATGAATTTTGATGGCAGCTTTGTACTCTATGGATTGGCACGCACTTCACCGAGTTTCTCTCTGATAGGGCATCCGCTTGCCGGGCTCGGGTATGACCCCGCGCCCCGGCGCCCAGCTGTTCTTATCGAGAGGCAACCATAAGGCAACCAGAGGCAAACAAGTCTGCGGCTCAAAACGTCGACTGTTTAGCATATGCATAAAGGCGAACCGGCGATGAACGCCTATTCCCCAGTTTTTCGGTGTCTTTTTGTACCCAATATAAGCCTTGCCACAGTCCTTGTGTACTCCTTTTGTTTGCTCCGATTCTTCTCTAGATTTTGCTGTTTTCATGCTTTCTTACTACGTGTTTAGTCCCTCTGACCATTCACCAGTCGAGTGTTTCTCCTCGATTTTGATCCCAGCTACAGCAGCTCTGCCGCTCTTCTAGCAGGCTCCTTTTCCTCTCCACCATGGGTGGTGGTCCGCGTAACCCAAAAGATGCTCCTGCTGAGTACGTCAAGATTGATCCCATCAACACGAGTGGCATTGTGCTGACAAGTAGTAACACAATAGCTGCCTTGCGACCGATTCCGTGATTCACCACACTTCCGAGGTGTCGGTCGTGACAGAGGACGATGCAGCCACTATCACCGGCCGCGAACAAGATTCCAGCAATGCCGTCGCTGAGGAGGTCCAGACCGTCAAAGCCAACAATCAGGACCCACCACTTGACTCGCAGGAGCAACGAATAGCCAAACTAAAGGGCATCTATGCCAGCTTGGTGATGGTCGAAAGCGAATGCATAGAAGTGGACGGAAAACACTTGCTCGCTACTGGAATCGAGTTGGTTGAACAGATCTCGCGAGACTTAAAGAGTGCCAAAGAGAAAGCAAAGAAAGAGGCTGCTGAAGCGAAAGCAGAGCAAAAGGCTGCTGAAGCGAAAGTAGAGCAAGAGACCGCCCAAGCGGAAGAAGACAATAAGCACTCGAACCCCGACCCCGAGGCGATGCCGACCAGTGTGGGTGAAAGGCTAGATGAGACAGCTTCTAGGGAGGCGGAGGCTGAGGAGGCTTTCGAGGAGATAACTCCTGAGGAGGCAGAGCTCGAGGAGGTGGATCACGAGAAAACATCTCCCAAGGTGGCGGATGCGAATGCAGATGCCGCTCTCGATGAAGTTACCGTTACTACGCATCCTGTAGACCAGGACGCCAATCTATCCGCCCAAGAGCCGCAGGCCTCTCCTGAAGAGGCTGGTACTGCACCCCCAGATTCGGGCAAGGATACGGCAGACACTGGAGTCAACACTACTGCCCTCACCAAGGAGACGAAGTCTGAGTCCGAGAAGAAGCCCAAGACCGAACTGCCATGCTATGTCGAGTTCAGGCAGCTGGGTGACCAGAGTCTGTATAAAAAGATTGGCAGCGAATACTGGGTGCTGATCGATTCCCAATGGGTCCCCAGTCTCAATGCGGAGCAGTTTGCGGCTCTCATAGAGCTTCACCGCACATTATTACACAAACACTACGACTTTCTCTTGGAATCGCAGCACCCTAGCGCGTCGGCAGCGCTCAAAAGGCTCGCTGCAAAGCATGCCATGCCGGGAAGAATATGGTGGCACGGGATACATTCCTTTCTCGAGGTCATGCGTAAACGACTTGTCGAGTCCGGGGAACACATGGCCTGTTTCATCATCCTGGCATACAAAATGATGTCTTTGCTGGAAGAGACTGTCCCGCACTTCCGTCACACCTGGATCGAATGCAAAGCGGATTTGGCCCGATACGGGTAAGTAGAGGCGCTGCCCCTGCTTGGTCTACTATACGATAGACAGATGTGATAACCAAGACTGACACTTGCTGCGTAGAATGGCCACCCAAAGCGGTGACAAGAAAGCTTTGCAGCGCTGGCATGACATTTCCAAAGAGAAGTACACTCGAGTATCGGGCGAGAATCCCACGACCGGCCTCATCTATCACCACCTCGCCATCCTGGCGCGGCCCCAAACTCGGGTTTCGCCTGACGAAGAATTCGAAGCCACTGTGTCCCAGTTTTTTTACTACACCAAGTCCCTCGTCGTCGAAGTCCCGTTTTTCGCCGCGCGGGAGGTCGTGTTGACCCTTATCAAACCGATTGTTGACCGGAATGAGAAGGAAGCCGAGAAGCAGGCCAGCGTTCCCCAGACCGACAAAGATCACTTCCTTACCGCTGTTTCCCATCTGATTCTCGCTTCCCTGGAGCCCGAGACTCTCAGGAAAAATGGCTACAACGACAGTAGAAAGGAACATGTTCAGGCTGTCTACGCGGCACTGGAGAAGATAAGGATTGATGCATCTTCCAACACATCAAGAATGTGTCCAAGGTACGTGCTGGCCCTGTGGGATGAGTTACTCCCATATCTAACTGATCACTTGCAGCCCCCAACTCGGCCTCCTCCTCTGCCAGCTACTGCTGGGAATTCCCCTTATTGATCAAAGATGGAGCCCTATGATGGCGGCGTGGGCCGAAGACCGGGACAATTCTGACGCCATGGCCAACGCGAGGGACATCCACGATGTAACGATCGAGCTGATCCGCACCATGGTCCCTTATCTTTTGGAGGAGGCAGATACGCGTGACCTCAGGCTGTGGGGATTCATATACGTAATGCTGGTCTTTATGCGCTCCCTGAAAACGCGGCCCAGGCTCCTGAAACGGATCGGTTCGGCGTTCCACGCGCAGCTTCTGGCGCGTTTCCTCAACATGCTTCTACGCGAGGATGAGGCCCGAGGCGCCCTTGCCTTGGAGAGCGCGTCCCAATCGGAACTCGTTACAATTTGCTCGTTGCTCAACGAGGACAAGAGGCTGGACAAGTACGGGCTCAGTACCGAAGACAGCCTCAGGAAGTACTTACGCGAGCAAGAGGAACAGCGAAAGGCAGAGCTTGTCAAGAGTGAGGCCGAAGCTAAAGATGCCACGGCCACTCCGGAAGGGAGTCAGACGACAGCGGAAGAGGACAAGGTCCCCCGGGAAGAGTCCACGGCCGCGACAGAAGAGACTACGACCAGTGACGCCGCGCACGAGAAAGACCTGGACACCAAGACACCAGATTGGGAGCTGGTGTACGCCAACACACTACCGGAACACAGTCTGCTTGCGGGGTTCTTCTTTGCCAGAGAGGCTGAGCCTGAACCCCGCAACAAATCCCTGGGGAGACCTGCCGAGGACGCAGTAGTCGTTGCCTGCCCAGCCGCCCCTGATGCCACCCCAGCGGCTGTGCAGACCGCCAAGGAACCCGCCGCGCAGACCGTCGATGAATCAGTCGAGGCATCACTGGTAGAAGTGAGGAGGGAAGAGAACGAAAACGAGGATGTTCAACAGCAAGACTCCCAGGCGAAGGAGGTAGAAGCCGAGAAGACGCAAGAGGAAGACGAGCAGAAGGACAGAGAAGCCGAAGAGGCAGAAGTGCGGAGGTGGGAAGGGCTGCATCGTGTTCCCCCTCTCTTCCCCAACGGCTGGTTCAAGCGCTCGAAATACGACTACGACGAGATGCAGGTTCGCAACTATGTCCAGGACGCCGCGACATGTGACGCTCGGTCAAACCAGCTTTTGCGCCTGGCTGCTCAGCTGTCCGACTGCTTCTTTGTCTTCGAGACCGACGAGGAGAGACGCTATTGGATCAGCGTGCCTGGGGCCTCATCCGTACCGAAGCCTGACCTCAACAAGAAGATGCCGGAAATCATCGAGCGCGACGGCGGCGTCAGAGTTGTTTATGTACATCCTTTCTTCCACGCTGCCGAGATCGAGAGGGAGAAGAGGAGAGCAGCAAGGGAAGAGAAGTGGCAGAAAGAGAAGAAACGGAAAGAGGAGGAGAGACAAAAAGAGAAGAAACGGAAAGAGGACGAAGCCAAGGCTACTACGGATGTGGCTACTATAGCTGTCAACGAGAAGGTCGAGGGCGACGCGGAAGAGGTCAGTGTAGCCAACAACACTCCCGAAGCGAGCCAACTCACTGACACGACTGAACAGCAACCTACGCAATCCGAGAAGCCAGTCAGCCAGGTCGACGCCGAAAAGGCAACAGAAGCCGTGAACCTCCCGGCCGTGGCACCCAGCACGGTATCAGAGGACGGTGATCATGAGCCGAGCTCGGCTTATGAAATGGATCTGGACAAGGCCATCGGTCTCGAAAATGCCACCGCGGCGGCCCAGAAGCCGCCGGTTACCCACGAGGCGGAGCCCACCAAAGCCAAGGTGGAGATGACGCTTCCAGTGCGAGGGGTGGACGACGCGCATACGAAGGGCAGCGGCGCAGGTTCGGACGCGGCCGCAGCCACAACCACAGCCCCCGCCGCAGACGCAGCCACGGACCCGCAGGTCACGGTTCCGCTGAGCGAGGGCGTGCTCGACAGTATCCCGAAGACGGAGGATTCTACTAAGGCTATCAAGCGCTGGAGAGCGGCAAGCAAGGGTCTCGGCGCGGACGAGGGCACGGACGAGGACGAGGACAAGGACGAGAAAGAATGGGAGCGCCTCAGCAACGAAAGTCACGGAGACGCCAAGGTGGAAACGACGTCTATGTTTTCGCGCTTTTTCTTCGGGTGATAGGGGTGAACAGTCTAGATTGATGGGAGTAGAGATGCGATTAGGAAGACGAGTACGGGGTTTGTATTCTAGCTGTGTCACTTCAGACTGTCTAAGTAGTTAACGGAGATACTCAGGGAAGTCGGGAGGGGGGAGGAACTATACACTTCATCCAGAACTTTCTACAAAGCCTACAAGGCCCTCATTCTTGTGCTTTTCCTTTTCCTTACGTTCCTTTTTTTTTCTCCTTTCTTTTTTCAACATATCTTGACTCTCGAGCGACTGGTGAGTCTCTTACTCTTTACAGCCGCCCTACCGCGGGAGGGCCTGTGGATAGCTGCTTTTCTTCCTTTATTCCCGGGCTAGTTGAGTACTGGCATACAAACGATTCGAGCTCCATTCCGGACGGATTGGCCGTAGAATCGCGCAGAAAGCTTGGAAAAGCCTGCGACTGCACCCAGCCGAGAGAAGTCAAGACCTCTAGATGGAACAGCTTCAGCTAGCGCCTCGACGTCTAGTACTTCGAACTGAATGGCCGGTAAGTAGGCGTGGACGAAGACTACTATACTTCTTGAGCCGTAGGTGCAAGAGACGGCAATGGCACCTCCCCTCCCTGCCTTTGGCCATGGCATGCCACCCTTTGGTGCAGCTAATCGCCGGACATCGAGATGATGCTGGTAGACCGACGCCATGGCTGCGTTTACTCCCACGCCGTATTGTATGTTGTTGATCCTGTCCCTCACCACGATTTGTGAATCGGTTACGCATTAGCACAAGGAAAGAAGAGGACCTTGCAGAAAATGTTCGTACTGTTGGCCTCAGAAATTTGACAGAGGGTGGCTGGGATAGAAGCCTGCGAAATTGCCCGAATACCAACTAATCGTAGCTTGGAGCTACCCCTCTGAGCAACTTCCCCTTAAGCTCAAGGAATTCTTTGCCGACCAGCGGGTAGTGACGCCACATGACCTCAAGGATCTTGCAACCAAAGGCTGCCAGCTTGACGCGGCTGGCATCGTCCGTACGCTCCCAGGCCGATCCGATTTCCGTGGCCATATCACGGAGGTCAGCGTGGTCGTCTCTGTTGATAAATAGGTCGATCAAAGGGATCATATCGAGGTCCTCGGTTAGATAAGCCTCATCGGACTGCAGGCTTCTTCTGAGCAGTAGGCATCGTGATGTGGCAGCTGCGGTATTGTTAGCGATTGCGATTAGAAGGGAAGTCGGGTTGAATGACTTACTATCGAAGCGTGTTGGACGATTGAAGCGTGGTTCAACACAGGACCTTTGATTTGGGTTGCGGGAGGAAGGTTTCGGCCAGCTAAAGAGCAAGTAAGGCAATTGAGGCAGCTAACTTAATGATATTGACTTAATGAAGTTTTGCTGTCTGGGAGGCAATAAACGTTTAGATTACGGTAGACTTTAGAGATGCGAGAACCTTATAATGTCAATACCTCTGAAGAAGGGAGCAATGCAGAGATCAGTTCAGCCGAATAAACTTGGTCACCAGATACGAAGACCACTCCGTCACTACCTCGAGCACCAGTACACTTTTAGTAACCTCACCACATTGCCAAAACATTTTGCAGAAATCAAGGTAAATACATCCATTTTAAAGACTATAAGAATATCCCTAACAACTACAAGATGCCTTTATTCACAGAAAAGACAACATGCAAGAAACTAGCCCCCAGGTAGCTGATTTAGATGTATCTGATGCTATATCCCACGCTGCGCTATCTGGAGGGAACAGTACAGCATCAGAGTCTCAGGAGCCTTCGTCCTCAGCCCCAAACGACAGGCAAGTCAGCCTAGATGGCATGAATTTGCGCGCCGTTCCTGCCGCAGCAGCTAGTATACTACCTAGCATCACAGAGCCCAGCATTACAGAGCCTGGCATCGTGGAGCCTGGCCTGTTCAAGAAAACGCCAGCTCCACTTGAGATACCCTCATCAGCAAATCGATTGCTTTCTGAACACGACGCCAGCAGTGACTCTCAGCGTTCTGGGTCAGAAGCCTACCATTCGCCGAAGCGACGCAAACTTACATCGAATACATCTGAAGAAATTATTTCATCGATTCGCAACGCTGCAGAGTCAACCTTGAGGGCACTGGACATGCTGTCCCCAGTCCAATCACATGACCTGATAGCAGATGTCAGCGTCCAGTCTATACATGATACCATAGAGGTAGCCGTGGACGAAATAGGCGATGACTGGAGAGATACTCTCTCAAGCACATGTTCGGGCCCTGATGATAGCGAAAGCGAAGCCGAGCTTGGCAACTCACAGTCGCAGAAAAGTATACAACGTCGCAGATGGACAAAAGGAGAAGAGGATCTTCTTAGACGACTCAAGCGCTCCCAGCAGAGCAACGGCACTCCATCGGACTATTATATCACAAAGAAATTGAAGCGCACAGAGAACGGTGTCAAGCAACATTGGGATATCATGCAACAGAAGGACAAGGTCAAGCGCTAGGAGTCTTTCTCAGAATGCTAGTGATGATGTCCTCATCTCCTTATTAAATAAGCCACACTTTCTTGTTCGTTTCTAACACGGCCACAAGTGCGGGTAGGCCGCTGATACGGTGAATTTGGTTATGGTCATCTTCACTCATCACTTATCGTGTCCCTCGCATGAATCAGGGAAGCAAGACGCCTTTGAGGACTCGGCCGTTCCCAGAAAGCATAATTTCTCATTTCGATGGACGAGAAAATAAGTCACAGGATTGGGAAAGTTCTCTTGGTTTTATAGTGCTGTCACCAGTTCTTAGGGTTCTTGTTAAAGGGGATTTGGCAATACAGGCGGGCACTGCTGTTGAGCGGCATTCAAACGTAGACGCAATGGATGACCAAGGATATTCAGCCGCCCCCTTTCTACCATCAACCGTTTAGGAGACTATTAGTCTAAGAATTTTTAACAATTATTAGTATACTACCTAAGTCAAGTCCCCGTATATGGCAGTTGACTACTCTCTCTTGCCATTAATCCAAGCTGTCTCTTCTCAGATACCTTCTGTGCAAAAAGCATCAGCATACCTAAGGGCAATATCAGTATCCCTTACTTTTCCTCTTACTGCCCCATCTTGATGAAAGCCATATCGTAGGAATAATCCAATCATCCTTGCAAAACGGATATTTACCTTAACATCCTCCTGAATGCCTCCAATGTCAGTCTCAAAGATTCGCCAAAACTCATCTCTGAGCTCCTGAGCATTATCATAGTAATGCCAGCCATTGCTATCCATATAGCCAAGAAGGTTCTCTAATGCCCATAGCGACATCCCAAATGGGTATATTTTTGACTCTGCCCAATCAATAACGCCAGAAATATGGCCGGCATTATCAACAAGAATGTTGGTTTCGTTGAGGTCACCGTGAGTGATGACAGAGGGAAGGGTGAAGATTCTGGGCAGGTTCTGGCGGACCAGATTGAGTGTTTCCGTAAAGCGATCAGGAAGCCGTTGAAATAGTCGATTAAGATCACTTTCAAATTCCTTGTGCAAGGTATTGACAGTAGACGGAGACACTTCCTGCGCCCCCCGCCATGCTGCTGCGAAGAACCTGCCATCCAGTTAAATGACTATTACCTTGAGTGGCTGGCAGATAAACCTACCTTGCAAGGTCACCAACAGTCCGGAACTACCGCATCTCAAATTCCGCCTTACCCTCCCATGAAGTGTCCCTTGTCTGGATATAACATACGCCATCACGCTTCTCCATCACGTAGATAGACAAAGGATTTTGGCTACCGATTTGCCCGTAATACTTGCACCTGGGAACATCTTTTGTGTGAACTAGCTCAGCGATTCTCATATTTGCCATATCCAGCTTGGATCGCTCCGCGCGGAACTGCACAATATCTGCCTGATCTGGGCCGCCAGTGACTGTATAGCTCCATACACCCTGTATAGGCACTGGAGTCACTGACCCACCGACAAGAGATGCGGCTTTCATATCACATTCCGCCCTTGTAACTGTAGTTGAGGTGTCGAAGAAGTGCTGGATACAGCTTTCAACAGAGTAAAAATCGATGCTCATGGCAGGATAGTTATAGGCGAAGGGTACAATATTTAGGGAGGTAGGAGTTTATTTTGGTCAAGCGAGACTTTAAATCAATGATCTCGGTAGCACCTCGGCATCGTTTAGGCAGCATTTAGGCAGCATTCCAGCCGCAACACCATCCAGGCCGCCACAGCGCAGTCGAACCGGGATCAATAAAAGTAGAATCACTACTACTGCCCTCCGCGACCATAATCTCAAATAATGGAATATCCTTTCAGCTCTTGTCGCTTTATATATAATTAATTGTAAAGATATATAAAGCGCGACGCTACTCGCACCGAATAAGGCCCAATTCATGTGAAGCCTTCACCAGTTCGGCCTCGTTCTCGAGCTTGCCATCCCAGAAGACCTTGTGAGGCCCAGTGGTTGTCTCAGCATGCTGCTCATTGCCCTTAAGCTGTCTAATTCCATCTCCCCCCTCATGATAAATGAACCCTGTTTCCTTGGCAAGCTTGCCATAATTTGCCTGCTCCTGTTTGAGCAGGACAGTTCCGTTATGGCCAAGGTCAAACTCGACCAGGCCCTCCATACCATCTGTGACCCCAAGCGCCAGAAGGTCGCCTAACTGATTACCCTGGAAAAAGTGGTTCAGCTCGGAAAGGAAATCGGGTGAGACACCCGCTAGGTCAGGCAGAGGTCCTTCTCTGTACTTATAGACTCGGGGACTGCCATCAGAGCTCATCTTGAAGAGATAGCCATGAGTGTTGGTTAGGTTAAGGTTATGGATATCCACCGGGCGAATCCATTTTCCGATGAGAATGTTGAGATTGCTCGTCATCATGACTTTGCCATCATCGATGAGGTCATGTCGATGGATGAGGTGAAAAGACAACTTCTTCTTCAAACCATGGCGCTCCAAGATCTCTGCCAGCATACTGAAGTGCTGGCCGGGAACCTCTGGCTGATCCCGGGACTCGGGAAGACTGTTCCAGCTGATATCGTTAACTCAAGGCCTAGTGTTTCAGGATAAGCATCCACCGATTTCAGTGGCGGCCATTGTGAAAGTTAAATTGATTTAAGAGGTAGCAGAACGTTGGTTTGAATGCGAACTTAGATATCAGGCTCAAGGGCGACATGAATGGATCTTAAATACCCCAGAAAAGCCCTTGTCATTGCCCGGGTATTTGTAGCCGGGCAGGGAACAGAATGGTTGCCTAACTTGAGGGGATAAATGCAATATCTACCATGCAAGGCGTTTGCTCTATCTCGTGGCCCACGGGGGCATATTATGGATGCAAGCAAGTATACTGGAGGGGGTGTATTTCTAAGTTCGCGGGGACAGCCTACTTCTTGACCTGCATGATGCAGTGTAACCAAAATATGGTCCAATATACCATAGAACACAAATGGGGAAAGACTCGATGTGATTAAGTAGAGCTGTCGTTTAGCTATGGATGGGTTGTTGGTTGCAGGGAGTCATGCGTAGAGTGAGGTCGCATTCTGACAAGCTCTCACGATGCATGCAACTGCAGAGCCCTACTTGAGTCACCGCTTGATTGACATCATTGATTAAAAAAACGAATAGGTGCTTCCGTTGATCCGAGCCGTGCTGACATCAGATACCTAACAGTACATAGGGCTGAAGTCAATTAAGACATGAAGGAATAGTTTAGGTAAAATACTGCACTTCTGGTATTCTATCTATACTAACAATATACAACATCGAAGTCATTTTTTCATTCATGCTCATTAAGTAAACTATACAGCCGCTTCAGGTCGTCTGTAAGTACTCTGAAAATCGAAAGTGCTTCCATAGTCCAATCCTATGAAAGATAACGCTCAGTCTCTCATCAATAAAGAAATCACTCCACTCTCGGTTAGACTCGGGTAAAGTCGGCGTTTCAACGGTGATAACATCAAACTTCCGCTGTTATTTGCATTTATCTCCATACATGCTGTCAAACTCCATTTAATTCCACCCTGGCGCTCGCCCATACGCCAAAGCCTCTGGTATCGTCATCCTCTTGAGAGTTATATTGTATTCTTAGCCTCTCAGCATGGCAGCCTCAGCAGACAACAGATCCTTAGTGATCGCCGAAGGTGTGTTAGTGTAAGGGCGTAGTTGACCTTACCTTCCTTGCGATAAAAGACCATGTATATAGCCTGCATAAAACTCAAGTGTATAACCCGAATATCCATCAAACATTGTCCCCTGCTAGTAAATGTAAGTAGGGTTTTAGATAGTATATATAAAACTTGCCTGCTTCAACGTTCTCCAAGTCCATTGCATTCATGGCAAACAGCTTCGCCTTTCCTTCCGGTACCGTCGCAGCGCTCGCACTTCATCGTAAAAGGTGTTATAAAAGGTGACAATAGTAGTAGTCAAGAGATAAATGACCGTGACGAACATTTATTCACTCATCAGGCAGCAAAAAAAGATGTGGGTCTGTGGTAAGGTGACCACTGCTGGTCCACTTATCCTTTTGCAATGATTGGATAATGATGACAAAGCAGGAACACTGGAAGTTTCTTGCGCTTTTCTTTCGTCATTTCAAACTTAACCTTTATGATTTCATCTTCATCATGCCGGACCAATTTAAATGCCAAGTGTGTCTGCAAGTATTTGCAACATCTGAAGCACTTCAACTTCATATCACGGAATTTAAGGTACTAAAACCCCCTACCAACAGCAGCTAGACTTAATTCAATATCGTTAGTCCCAAACACAATCTGTTCTCGCAGCATATACGCAGTGTTTGAACCATATCACCCCAGGAACTTCCCGAGACAATGAAGCTTATTTAAGACCAGCCATATGCCAAGTGTGCAGCAGAAAATTTTACAACGATTATGCCCTTGAGTTACATATCGAAGAGTTTCGAGTGAGTGCTTTCTAATTATTATAGAGGTTGCTAATGTGTGAGTCCTTGGAATCGCGACTTGTCCTAGACTTACTACATAGTCAATCACACATTGCCACGCCCAAATATGAATTTTATCGCAACGAAGGATCCCAATGTCCGCTAGCGAACTGTGAGGTAAAAGATAGAAACCCTAGCAATCGAAGTCGGCATTTCAGGGCGCGTAAGTCCCCAATTCTGACAGAGCCAAACACTTCTTGACATATCAGATATTCCGTTTATCGAACCGTGCAAAGGGTGCGGCAAATTATACACCTCATGCAACACTGCAACATCGCACGGCTGCAAACACCCGCTGGGCACAACATGGATTACGGAACGCCGGCGACGGCTTCAGATGAGAGCCTCTCAGGAATACCAAATTGCCATTACATTTTGCGAGTCGAGCAAACGAAAGATAAATCGATACTTAAAATCCTCGAAATCGACCTCGAACGAAACGAACCATGTCTGGCCCCCGCTGGATACTCCTGCATCACTCAATACAGACGTCAATGAACCACGGCCGAATAAGACGCTAACAGCGAGAAATGGTGTGGTAATGGCAAACCTTGAGGAGGCTCGTGTTGTCGGTAAAGCTGTGAGCAATACGGGACTTTTCTGCATGGACGACCCCGGCGTGACACTTCAAGAGGCTCAAAATAGCGGGTTATTCTGCCTTGATGACACAGCCGACCATGTGGCTACTTTCTGCGAGAAGTACACTTCGGGTTGGGACTCTTGGTTTCTGGTGGACGGCACGGATAAGAGCAGGAGAAAGAGACCCTTAGATAAAATTTCTTCGTAGTTTATATGAAGATACTTAGTCTCTTTGCACATAAACTCCTAACTGAGCCACATAATCGGGATCCTGCGATGCCGGAATGCTTAGTCCTGTCTTCCAAAACTCACGCGTCTCTTTCCATTCCTTTAGCTGTTCTTCCTCGACAAACACATAAAAGTACGACCACTGACAAAGCGATCGGAACGCGGCCCTGGCATCCCATATGACCCTTTAATGTTGTTAAAAAGGAATCGAGCTTTCAGGTGTCTGATCACTTACAATCCGCCATCCGCCAAAGGATGTCTTTCATTGTTTCGGTCGCACCCAAGTTCTTTGCCGGTGAATGATTTTACATCCCGTCCCAATACTCGCAGCAGGTTATTATCAGACTGGTACTTGGGAACTTCTTCGCTATGTAATCCGCAATAGTATACTGAACTCGAATTCCGTGGCCAGGCATGCACTAGCAAGAGATGTGGTTTATCTCCACCAGCGCGGAAGGAATATATTCGATTTGGGTCAGCAGGAATTCCGCCACAGTACCCGAGAATGAATCGTGAGCCGAGATCGTCGCCAAGCGCGTCCAGCGTCTCTCTCACCCGCTGACAAAGTTAACTCGATTACAGAAATCCAAAAGAGATCAAGACCTACCGGCTCAGACAAAACGAACTTAATGCAGAACTCAAACCCGGTATCCGAGGAGATGTCGAATGCCGCTTCGTCTTTTGTCATCTGCTCAAATGCTGAGCCCAGAGCTGGGTTCTCGATAACATGAAAGCCAATCTGGTAGATATCTTTCTTCGCTTCGTCAACAGAAAACCCGGAGGACATCATGGGCATACCAGGGGAGGATGTCCTGCGATGGACATACCCCGCACGGACTGCGTTGGCAGATACAGGTAGAGGTTGCAAACCTCAGGCAGCCATTGCTGAGATGGGGGCCCCTTAATATGATTGGATCAGTATAGCCCCACATAGGTAGTCACGAAAGGTGAGCACCTTTTAATATGATTGGATTAGCATAGCCCCATATAGGTAGTCATAAAAGGTGAGCACCCCTTAATATAATTGGATCAGGATGACCCCATGTAGGTAGTCATGAAAGGTGAGCACCTTTCAATATGATTGGATCAGTATAGCCCCATGTAGGGTAGTCATGAAAGGTGAGCACCCCCTACTATGATTGGGTAAATCTAGCCTTATGCAGGTAGCCATGAAAGGTGAGGTACTCACCTCTCTAGCTGATCGGCTAGCAGTACTTGAAAATATTGTACAATGAATTATTCTATCACCATCTCGACGCATTGTAGTAGTGTCCTATATCACCTTAGCCCCTAACACAATGCACACGCTTGGTCTATCTTACTGGCCGGGTGAGAGCCGCCAGCTCACAATCTCTGGTTCACCTCGCCATAGTGCTCGAATTGATGAGTTTCTGCGACGTATAAGATGTGACTGTTCCTTTACCTCAGCTATCCGTGAGCTAGCCCATTATGCAGCCCGTAACATACATTAGTTCAGCATGAAAACTCCAAGATTAGAGATGCCCGACAGGGATCCTACAGGTCGGTCATATTAGCCAAGTACCAGGAAGTTGGCGAAGCGAGGGACTCTTTCGATGACCTGGCATTGTCGGGTATAAAAGTGAGCTATTCATACTAGGTAAAATCAGCAAAGGACAAATCACTCGATCAACTACATAAATTCTCCATTCATACAGCATGTCAGACGATCCAAAGGACAAGCCCCCGTCCTCCACGTCTGAACCATCAGACAAAGACAAACAGAAAGAAAAGGGAGATAGTTCTAAAGAGAACCCTCCGGCTTGTGGTGCGGCGACTTGATAACATGAAAGAAAATTCATTATTAACTTCCTACAGACGATGATGGCAAGGGCAGAAGCGAAGACGTGATAGATTCGCTTCCTGGGCATAAAGACGTGGTTGTATTCAAGTAAAGGGCGATAGCCGGATTAGTATATAGTCAATCGGACTTTGTACAAGTAGTGAAGTGCCTTGATTCATCAGAAATCCTGACTCAATGCTCCAGGCAACCCATTTCAGCCCAAGTCCATACCCGCCCAACGAGACCCGACATGACTCTGCTCTTTCTTTGATTACTGGCACGACAATCTGATATCTTCCGATTGGCGTCTGGAGCAAGCCAGATTCGTGGTGAATTGCGTGCGCTGAGACTCGGGATAGTTCTCCTCTAATGAGGAACTTGAGTGATATCTTTACCATTAGCGATGATATGACACTATGACGAACACATACCAAGTTTCTCATTGCTGCATCAAATAAAGCTTGATGTTCAGTCGACCACTCGTAGGCATAGAGATCTACTTCACTGGTGAGGCCGGGTGGCGTTGGGTTAAACCCACGCAGTTGGCTGGCTGAATTAAGCACTCTCCTCTGTAGAGTCTCGGAAATGACAAAAGTTTCGAAGTGCTGCATAGACCGAAGAGGTGGTGTAATAGGGGGAGGCAAAGGGGGAAGACGCAGGCTAAGTCTGCGGGTTCGCGATGCTGAGAGGAACTCTTGAAGTTCCTCTTCCAGGAATAGACGAGTCCCCAAGGCCTTGCAAATACGATCATACCTCCGAATTCACCTTAGTTTCTGTCTAATACAGAGCGTGGGAAGCTTACTCAAGGTCAGGACGTATGTAGTGAAGTAAAAATGGGATGTAGAGAACTATGGAGCCTTGAGCCTCCGGGGGAGGTTTAGTGACCGGGATAGACTGGAGGAATCGGCCTTGGTGTTCTCCGTATTGTCGGATATGTGCGATGTCGTTTGGTACTGCCAGGTATTAACGCAGGCTGGTGCAGGCTATGGTATCTTCCTTACTGTAAAGAACCAATTCCAGCGCACGGTGCCGAAGCCCCTGCACGTATAATTTGTCAAGAAGTTCAATAAGCCTGCCCACTGCGAGCAAGTACCTATCCAGCGTGCTTGGCGGGAGCTTAGGGTTATCCAAGAACTGTCTCAGAGTTGAGTAGATTGGCTCTTTGTTACTAGCTTCATACAAGTCGACACTGCAACCTGCCAAGAAAACGATCTTGTGCAGATTGCTCTCCTCCAGGGGGTCAAGTAGTCGAGCTAGGGTGTCGGGGATCCTTTCCGGCGAGTCAAAGTCATGGCGACACCGAACAGTCTGCCAGTCGGCCTCGGTCTTTGGCACCTTCGTGGTTAGTTTGTCCCATATGGGATCGTGAGTGCGTCGACGAGGTTTAGGTGCAGGTGGGGGAAATCGGAGTGTAGCAACAAGATCACTGAACGGGACAGGCGTCTCCTGACTCGACGGTGTCTCGCTCATGTTTGCAAGGTTTCAAAGGCTGGAGAAATGGAAGTGGGAAGAAAATATCTCACTACCGTAAGAGGAAAGAATTCATGGACTTCATGAAGTAAAAGGGGGGCTGCTGACGCAACCCCTCACGCTAGTGGGACGGAAATGAGTGGAAATGATCTGACGAACGTAAGAGGAAAGAATTCATGGAATTCATGTAGAATATGTGGGCCTACTCACCCTACGCATACGGGGAGGCTAGGGAGGGGGGTGCTTGGAGTATTGGGACATGGGGGGCCAACACTGCAGCATTCACAAGGTCAGGGCTGCTTTTTCTGCTTTCAGGCCAAATACTTAAAGTAATGTGCAACCCGGCGAGGCAACTACTTGCAGGCCTCACCGACACTGGTTCGCAAAGTAATTCATACCTAACTTTCCAATCAAGCACTTCATGCTAGACTCTTCTAGCACCCCGACAAACCAGGGCCGCGGCGCATACGACACAACAGGCTGCCCGAAACCTCCACCAAGACCTAGACCAAGCTAAAATGAAGCTATCGGAGAGCATCACCATCGCGATAGCAGTACCCGTAGCTGTCATCTGTTTCCTCATCCTTGCCTTCATTATCAAATACATCCGCAAACATCGCCAGGCAACAGAAAGCGATCCGGAATCAGGTCGAAAAGCTTTGCAACGGATCCCAGACACCCCAGACACCCCAGACACCCCAGCAGGTGCAGATGTCTTCGGCATCCTGGGAGACATCGAGATAGCCCGTCGTTACATGGAAGAGAGGAAAATAACGAAAGGATGGCATCGTACGTCATGGGGTGCTCCCTATAAGGTTGTCGTAGATCCAAAACTTGGTCAAGACGGAATTCGAGCTGTCATTATTCCTGCGGAGGTGGACGAATCGGAGCGCGATAGATTGAAACGCGAGTGGCCATCGTTCAGAGTTTACACCGACGACTCCGAGGATTACAGGGGGGGGCCAGCAACCGGTTTGCCAAAGGAAATGATCGCATTCTTAGTTTAGAAACGTAGCGGAAGTTAAGACAATGGGAGAGGACGGTAGCATAACACGAAGCTGCTGACAACTTTACACGCCCCTTCATTATCTTAGATCCTTGCAAATAAACCCATGTTGTAACTTTTGTTTCTTGTGTAAGCCTTTTTCAGGGTGTTGGGACCAGCATTGAATTGTCATTGTCTACAGCTTCTAATCAGAGAAATATTTATACGGAAGATCGTCTAGACAATTATTCTTTAGATTAATTTGTAAATACCCCTGCCACTCAGGCCCACACTGTGTATATACTGCAGGCTGCATCTATGCCAACCCTGTATCCAGGAGTCGTGAGCGGATGGCCCTTCCCCCAGATATTTAAGCTGGGCTTTGTGCTGAGTCTTCTCCCACTCTCCTTCTCAAAGCAAGATCAAATCCATTATTCCCTTACCACGTATACCACCATGGTTTTCATTTCTTCTGTGATATATCGAGAGTTAGGTAAGGCTAACCCTCAACTCATAGAAACATCTACTAATGCATCTAGCAATTTTGAGACTGGTATCTCATTTCCAGCTTGCAGGCATTGCAATTCAAACCGTTCCTGATAAAATATATCGAGTATCGGACAATCAAGAAACCCTACAGGAAACGTCTGGTTGGGAGTTTGTGATAACGCAGAGGGCTGACGGGCGCGATGTCATTATTGGAGCATGGTACCGAGACAGCGGTCTGACTCATGTCATAGGGCACTGCTCTGAGGAATACTACCAGGAATGGCACATTTACTAAGGCAACTTTGATCATGTAGTAATTAGAGTCAGAAGGGCCAAGAGTGGAAGTAGAGTCAATACAGCAAAGAACATTTAACGTGCCAGCTATGTATACCTATGAGACATAAATGTCGTCCGTACCCTCGACCAGTGTTTCATCTGATGCCACAGATGTAAATGAGCTAGCATAAGAGGGTAAGGGAGCATCTCGCAGGACTTGCTGGTCCTCCTGCAGGAACATGGCAAGTTTACAGGCAATCTCAGTGACCGAAGAGTCATCCTGTATGCAGTATCCTTCTGTCCCTGACCGCATCCCCACCAGGATCGCGATCCGAAGATGCTTGTCGTGAGGGCCGCCTTGAGTAGGTATACCTCCTAACAAAGAAAAGGCATCGTCTTCGTTGAGGTCAAGGTTGGGTGACTCCAGTTGCAGTTGAACGAATTGTTGACCCCATTGAGTCTTGGTTGTGTACCGTAGATCCTTGAGAGAATCTAGAAGGCGTTGGGTGCGGCGTCGGAACATGTCGCGTAAATGAAGGGATCTTGGACGGGGTTCGAGGCGTTGGTGAAGGAGTTCAAGGAATCCATACAGTCCATGATCTGTGGCTTCTTTGCACAAGTCTGGAAAGCTGGGTGAGTCTGGGGAAGAACCATAATATAAGGCAACGAATGGGATAACGAGCTTCAGAAGCTGATCTTTATGCCCGAGGTACGAGCGTATTGTGCCTACAGGTATCATGCAGGAGAGTGGGTTGAGTATTTTCATCTTGGTGTTTGTTCTCTGTGGACTGACGTTGGACCAGGGCGTTGGCTGTCTTTTAAAGCGCTGCTTGCCTGCTAGCGTTTTTGGGTTGCAAGCCCCTTGAGACAAGGATGGCTACAGATGCAGGGCGTCATGACGCTAAATGTTTGCACGCCCCTCCAAATATGCACTACCAGACCGGCAAAGACTCTCCAGTGCATAAAAGGATCCATAAATCCCACGTTGATTCCAAGATTTTAGACTGTTGTGCAAATAGCCCCGAACTTCTTAAACCATCTTTTATTACCCAGAGGCTTAAAATAATGACATCACTCACGTCGCCAGAGGAACTCAGAATTATTGATGTAGTTTTCGGACAGCTAGGTAATGTCTGCTTCAAACTTGATATTAGCAAGCTCTAACATACATTAGTGTACCAAAAGCGTCTTCAGCATGCAGAGGGTACCTTCATCAAGGATACATTTACTCCTGGTAGAGAGCATGTTCTCTGTATAGTAAAGTGTAGTCTGCTAGAACTAGAACAAATATCTGGTTGGACATTAGCTTCATTTCAAATGGACGGTCAAAGTATTATCATTGGGGCATCCTGGTTGGGGGCATGTCTAGGATACTACGATGGAACATACTACGGGACATGGTGTTACAAAGGAATTGGCGTGTAAATCTAAGCTGGCAGATTTTATACAATTCACTAAATTAGGTCACTTAGAAGAAATACTGTAGGTGAATGGGGTTTATCTGGTATATTAATAAGAAATCGATTAAAGAGTGGTCTGTTTTAAAGAGAGAATTATTTATAAATACTAAGAGAGTGGAGAGAAAATCCGAAGAATAAGAGTAAGAGATTATCTGAGCTTGTGAGATTAGAAATGAGAGTGGGATCCAAGACCAGGAGATAGGAGTAAATTATCGGTCAATAAGTTGACAGGCAACCCGGTTGACGATGAACTTTAAGAAGCAGCGTCCTCATCGAAATCATTCTTCAAGTGTAGTTTTGATCGAAGCTCATAGAGTTTGCCCAGAATGAACTTAGATAGCGGCTGTTCTTTGCTCTCTTCTATCATAGAGAAGATCTGTTTCTGCGGAAAGAATATTTGGTAGATGCTGGCCAGCGAAAGTAAGATGTGGCCAAGATCAGCAGCGTCTTCCACGAGATTGTCGATAGTGGCAGAAGTTTGATGATGCGAGAGCTGGCGGAATTGGCTTCGGATCTGTTGGCCATGTTGAGGGCTCACTGTGCTCCACTCGGGACTCGGGGGCGATGTATCATAATGAGTTGGTAGGGACATATCAGCATCGTTGTTTGTTGTGTCAGCTTCACTTTCAACAGGTTTCACTCCACCAACATGGATTCAGTACCTAGTAAGACTCTCTCTGCCACTATGCCTTTGAAATACTGACAGCCCTGACGGCTCTCCACGTTATTCTATAACAATTTGTGGCGATAACAGTCCAATTTCTCTAAAGTTGGTAGAATTCGGTGGCAATGGCGAGGCCAAGCAATGTGCACAGCACATACCGACTAGCCACGATACTCAAGGGGGCAAACAGGATACAAAGAGCGTGACAACAATTAGCAGCGAACCCGAACCTGGTTTAATGGAGGCCGATCAGAAGGTAGCAGCGATTTGTCTCGAGGTCCAAAACAGACCCAAAGATAAAATAATGGCTTGGATACAGGGTGTGAGGGATGCCACTAACGCTTAGATAAGCAATATGAAAAAATAGTTGGCGAAGATTCGAGGTGCACAAGATTGTGACTTCCCAGGAAGTTGGGCGCTTCAGAGTGGCTTGACGTAGCACCGCCTCAACGCCGTGGCGTGATGCCTGGTGCGGGGTAATCTTATCAGTTGGGCGATAATCCAGCACCGTGCGTACAAGCTGGTCCGAGCATCCCTGCGAGCTCGGATCTCCCAGCCGCAAACAACGGATACATAAGTAGCGTGTTGCTCCAGTCTCAAAGACCTGCCTTGAAAGCAATGTCGCATCCGCCCCGCACCAACTTTCTCAGCAACACTATGTCCACACATAATCCTCTCATCTCAGAACTTGACTCACTCGTCACAAAAGCACGAGACCTTTCGTCAAGCTTCAGTGCACTACATTGCATGGTTCGCCAGCAACTCGAGGATCCGGCCGCTGAGCTACTGGCGACAGTCCTGGGTGGCATGGATGGTTTGGGTGACCAGTTACAGACACTGACATTGCAGGCTGAAGATGCCCACGCCCAAGCCCAGAATCTCATGCTTCCCAGCAGCGAACAGCCTGCCCAGACATTTGATGATCCACAGCCCTTGGACTCAGAGGATATGATCACGACGGGGAGCGATTTAGCCTCGGCCAACAGTCTGCCTGACTCACCCAAGGAGGGAGGCAACGACATCAACGACCGTCGCGCAGTCACTTCGAGCCCAACCAACCGAAGCGCAAGAGCCGACCTGAATACAAGGCGAGAGGGTAGATCCTTCGCAAGGAGCCCCTCGGTTGGGACTGAATCATCAGCTGCCTCCATTGCCATAGACACGTCACCAGCCGGTTCCGTTGCGACTCACATCACATGGCCGGAGAGCTCTGGTCGGTCTGCTGACGGGGATGAGGCCATGTTGGACGTCGATGACACAGGAGATAACGTGCAGAAACGGCAGCCTGACCTTGGAGGCCTCAAAAGAATCGCTGACTCTGGCTCGGGACAGGACCCCGCGACTGGCGACAAACCCAGCTCCCCTGACGAGCCGAGTCCGGTCACTGACGACAGAACTGGCCAGCCAACTCAGAGTCCTGAGGTCAGTGAAAGGGCCAGTTCCTGTGAGCCACAAAGGCCTACGGCACAGACCGAAGCTGAGCTGCACGACGACCGGCTAGCCAGCCCCCCGATGAACAGTGATATGAGGCCCAATGATTCTCATGCCGATGATCTCACTCAAGGCATGGCATCAGCCATGTATATGCTGGCCGTGGCCGCAGAGCAGCGTCATTCGCCAGGGAGTGGAGATGAGCAACGCACCAGCGACCAACAGACAGAGTCTCCCTCTGCCGGCCCACCTGGCGAACGAAGCGATACCGCTAGCTCACCACCAGCGATGCGGTTCAATCCGTCCAACGAGACACGCTCCTCGCTTCCTCCGACAACAGTTCTCACGCCGGCTGATATGAAAAGGCTCGTCCCCAAACTTGCCGAGATGGAACGTGAAGGCGAACACCAGCACTTCTCTGTTCCTCGCAGAAATGTTGACTTGGCCCACATGAAGGAGATGGTCAAGACGACTGATGAAAGGTGGCAGACCACGAGCACTCAGTATGTGCCAGGTCCAAAAGGCATGGGCTACGCAAATATTTACGTCCCGGATCGTCGACCTCCAATCCACTGGGAGGGGTTCACTACCCAATGTCAGCGGCCAACAATTCCGGAAATCGTGGCAATTTTTGAGAAGTTTGCCTCAGATCCTCCTCGAGAAGATATTCCGTATTATATTGGCAATCTCGATATTCTTCCTGAAGAGCGTTTGGATCCTGGACCTGAGATTACGGGAAACCCTGAACTTATGGACCTACACGTCCCGTATCACCACATTGGTGGTCATGGTTCCGGAAACCGTATACATAGGGAAGATTTCATCACGTTCCGATCCTATAATGAGGTTTACTTCGGAACCGGGTATAAACTTTGGCTGGTGATTAAAGAAGATCACATAGCTAATTTCAATGCATTTGTTAAAGCAAACTGGGACTGTAACGAATGCGACCTGTTTGTTTCACATCAATGTCTTCTTCTAGCTCCCTCCAGACTTGACGAGGCGGACATACATTATAATGTTGCGGCCGTCGGATGTGGGGAAGCCTTCTACACCTTACCGGGACAGCCACATGCGATCATCAATTTTGGACATTGCGCCGCTCATTCGATTAACTACATACCACCTGGGGAGGAAATTGACTTTAGCAAGATCACTACGTGTACCGACGATGGCATGTATGTTGTTGGGAAAAAATATGGGCAAACCACTGCCTCCGTGCGGGAATTAGTCCAAATCAACAAACGAAAAGCACATCAGCAACTCTCCCAAGTCGCTCCAAAGAAGACACGAACCTATACCGCAGCCCATCGCGGATTAATCGACATCGAGCAAAGCCTGAAAGACATACGTTATCGTCCAATCCAAATCGACCGCGAGCATCCCTCGGCCGCAGAGTTGAATGTATACAAGCGAGTCGCTGCTGTCCGTAGCACAGCGGCCATACAACAGTTCATTACTCTGGTGAAGGATTGGAAGAATGAAAGGGTCCCCGTCCATATCGACAAGAGTCAAGATAAGCTGAACCAGTCAGTGTATTTAGTGAAGTTCTTTGAGGGCAAAACAAATTTGTCAAAGTTTGAACTTCGTCTTACTCAAAGCAAACTAGCTCGTGAAGCTGATATGGGAAAGCCTGCGGGAGGAAAGCAGCTCAGAAGAGGGCTTCTTGACGAACTTGCAGCTGCTCATGGCATGACGAAAAGGCAACTGAAAGACCATATGGAAGACGGCAGACAATTGAATCTTATCTGCGAATCACACAATGGATTGCTCCCCTTTATCTTCCTGGACTCAAAAAATCCTTTTGGGTTAAAAAAAAAAGACTGGTCCGATCTCTATTGCGAAAAATTTGAGAAGGAGGCGACTGCATTCCGCAGTCTACTTGATGATAAGTATACGAGGAACCTATGCGAAGCAGGAAGGATTTTTGAAGAACGAGTTTGGAAAAAGATTCTCAATGGCAGCGTTTCAGATACTGGTGGGTTTCTGTGGGAGGAGACCGAGCTGGATGTGGACTTACAAAACATCGATGAGTTACTTAAGCAGGTCGCCAGAAGCGAAGGCACGTGATCAAGGCGATGGCTTAGTCAGAAAACGCTGCAGCGTTTTCTGACTCAGCATGATTCTTAGCGACTACCCTACACTCAAGTGAGTATTAAATAAATAAATATCTTAAATTATAATCTAGCTCTGGGTATCTCAATTTATTCTACTAGCCAAAAGTCGCGCTCGTCCAAACTATACACTGGATCCTGATCACACTTGCCGAACATCAAATACACTCGCGTAGGCAAAGAACTGGCATCGCTGTTAGGCCAGCGCTTGTGCGACCTTGCAGCTTCACTCAGACTGATGCGAACACCGCTTGTCTTTATGCAGACCGCTGACTGAAGCGTTTGATTAGAAAGACGCGCAACACGGTCGAAGAAGGATTTCCACGTGCCACTGAACAGTGTCACATTGCGTAATGCCAGTTGCTGCAGCTGGTGTAGACTGGCAAATTCGATCAACTCATTTTCCGAAGTCCAGAGATGGCGAAAGTGGGCGCGACGAAGTGTTGGCCATTTCAAACGCCGTAGGTCTATTCTCTGGCTACTGGCTTGCCCTCCAGACTCGGTACCTAAAACAAGTTCCCGTAGATTTGGGAACGATCGTAGAAATTGCTGCACTTCGTCGTGCTCATAACCACGTACCACCAAATTACTGACGTTTAAAGACACAATATTCTCGTTAGCAACGAGCCATCCATTGTTCTGTATGTCGAGCGTGCTGGGAATATTCAAACTGGTTATCTGGGGGAAGCGAGGTAAACTTGGCAATAGCTTGCATGCAAGGTCTTCTACTCTGGCCTTGAAGAAAGGGACAACCCGTGTCTTTTGGCAAAGTTGATTGTAGTATGCACTCTTCAGCTTTCCCCATCGCCATGTATACACATGTGATAAGGTCAGGGTAGTCAGGCTAGGAAACATTTCCAAGATCATGGCCAGTCCGCTGACATCAGAGTCAAAGACCCGGGGCGCTTCTTGAGTGGCGAAACGCCTGTAAGCAACAAAGGCCTCTATCTCCGCTTATTTGTATAAGTCATCATGGCTGACAGCTTGGGGGTGAGTTTTCCACTCGTCAAAAGATCCAAGGTGTGGCCAAGTGCCATGATAGAGACTTAGGTGCCTGGCTGCAGAGACAGGACTCGTATTGTAGTTCTGAGAGTTACAAAGCTGCTTAAGACACTTAGCAGTATTGATTACTTGAACGTGGTGGAACAAGGCAGCTGAAGCGGCATAAACGAATGCCTTTTAATTCAGGTATGGACATTAAAGCCTAAGAGATCTCTATAATAAGTTCAGGGAGAAGAATCTCCATGGTGAAGGTAAGTATAATTATAAATAAGTGATAGATGGGAAAAAGAATACATGCACTTACAGAAAACAAATTAAAAGTTAGAAATTAATATAAAGAAGTAAATAACTTAATACTTAAGTAATTAATAGAAAGCAGTT